GACAACCTGGTATTTAAAAAAAAAAACCCAAAAAACCAAACAAGTCAATATAAGAAAGAAACCATCAGAACAGATATAGGTCTACAAATATTTCACATACTAAAATTCCACATACAGACTACAATCTGAGTATATTTGCTATGTTTAAACAAATAAAAGCAAAACTTTAATATAACTATACAGAGAAGGAAACCATACCCCCAAAGTGAATAACTTTATAATTGGTATTGAGAATTCATTGACCAGATGATTTAGCTAAAGGAAGAATTATTGAATCAGAAAGTAGGTCAAAAGATGTTCGTCAGAATGCAACATGAAAAAACAAAAAGTGTAAAAGATAAGAGAATATAATTAGGAGATCTAATATACTTTTAACTTTAATCCCAGAAGAAGAGAAAAGAGACTATGAAACACAGAATATGAGACACTTGAACACATAAAAATGGCTAGGAATTTAAAAAAATCGATGAACAATATTTGTTCACAAATTCAAGAAGCCTAACAAATCCAAGGAAGATATATAGAAATTCAATTAGATATAGCACATCCAAACTACCAAAAGCCAAGGTGAAAAAGAAAAATCTTAAAAAAACAACTAGTCAAAATATACTTTCCTCCAGAAATGCCTCAATGGAAACTTCAATAAGTTAGTTCCCAGGGCATGAAACAAGATATTTATTTAGGAAATAAAATCCAAACCATGTCATCTCTTAAATTAACACATTTTTGGTTTTCTTTAATAATTATAAGAAATTGATATCCAGTGTCAATTAATATGCAGACACATTAAAACTCCTCAGCAAAGAATAAACTTTTGCTTTTAATTTCAATTTAATTTTCCAGAGAAGTTAGACCTTGAGGGCATCCACCATTTAATAGAACAAATCAAAACAAAGAAAGCCTTGACATAAAATATCAATGTGGTTTGACTCTCTGGGTTTGAGTAGAGAACATGATAAATTTTCTGCAGATTCTTTGTCTTTTTTTGAGTGTATGGTGCACTGCTTATTCACCAGATTTGGTTTCTGAAAGATTCTGAATATACCCTTCATTTTTTCTTTCTTTTTTTAAAAAAAATATTAAAGTTTATTGGGGTGACAAAGGTTAGTAAAGCTACATAGGTTTCAAGTGTACGATTCTGTAATACATCATCTATATATCACATTGTGTGTTCACCACTCAGAGTCAGTTCTTCCATCACCATATATTTGACCCCGTTTACCCTCATCTACAACCCCCCTCCCCCCTTACCCTCTGGTAACCACTAAACTATTGTCTATGTCTATGAGTTTTTGATTCTTTGTTTGTCTTGTTCTTTTGTTGCTTTCAGTTTTATATCCCACGTATCAGTGAAATCATATGGTTCTCAACGTTTTCTGTCTGAATTATTTCACTTAGCATAATAATCTCAAGATCCATCCATGTTGTCACAAATGGCACTATTTTATTTTTTCTTATAGCAGAATAGTATTTCATTGTGTATATATACTACAACTTCTTTATCTAATCATCTATCGAAGGACACTTTGATTGTCTCCATGTCTTTGCCACTGTAAATAAGGCTGCAATGAGCATTGGAGCACATATATCTTTACAGATAAATGTTTTCAGATTTTTGGGATACATATCCGGGAGAGGGATTGCTGGGTCATATGGTAATTCTAGTCTTAATTTTTTGAGAACTTACACACTGCCTCCCCTTCATCTTTTCAAAGTTAAAGGTTGACTGTCTCATTTACAAGAAAGAAGAAATCATGCAGGTAGAGAGAGGTGGCATGAAGAAATGGGAATAGCATGAGAGCGATCCAAGACAGGTGGATTCCATTCTCAACTTTAGCCTCAATTTGCTGTGTGACTTGGACAAGCCACTCGGCTTCAGGGGTCACAGTTATTTCAGATGGCTGCCATCTTATATTCCAGGCCACATATACCTTGGAGTAAATCTAGATCCCAGTAATGGACATACACAGTAGTTCTCTGGCTCCATCTTTGCCCATGAGTGTGGGACATTAAGTCCCCCACTATTTCTAGGAGCCACTCAAAGGGGACTCATATGTGCTCATGAAACTAGTGATTGTAATTTCCTATGATTTATACCTTCTTCCTTCTCCCTATTCTTTGACTCTCTTGGGGGTCTGTAGATGTAACCTCCACAATGAGATGTAAGCATCTTCCATCAACACCACGCCTATAGTTCAGGGTCCCATTGAGCACTGGGTGATATCTCTGGAGACCTCAGGGCACCAAAGTGGTGGAGCTTTCCCTTCTGGGTTTCTGTCTGTCACCTGGAGCACTGGTCCTTTAGTTCCCTATACTCATAGAGAGGTCAGTGACATTGCTCTTCCATATTTTGGTTCCTATAGACTCCACACTCCCAGAAGTATTGCTTCAAGTTCAGCTGGGTAAAGAGAGAGGAAGGCGAAGGAGGAGGAATAGCTATGAGCTAGACAGATTGAACTTTCATCCATGGCTGCCTATCCTGCTTTGACTTCCAGCCTGGTTCAAAGTGTTAAGAGAATTTCTATCCAGAGACATTACTAGGTCACTTACCCAGGGATCATCAGTTTGAACATTTCCATAAACTCCAGGTATTCCAGGAGCAGGTGCTTCCTTTCTTTATTGGGTGTAGAGTCCAACCAATGCATCAAACAAAATGGCTTCCTGAAATCACTCCAATTGGCGATTTAGTCCTTTGGATTTTGAGTATTTTCCAGTTCTCTATAAAGTGCTAAGCATCCTTGGCTTCATCTGAAAAGAGTCTTATTTGTTAGCTGGGTAAATTAAAAGATGCAGAAATAGGCCACAGTTTGGAGACTTAAAAAGGGAAAGAAGTAGAGAGTAGAAGCTATGTCATTTTTTTTATTCCTCTCATTATGCAACTTACTTATTCATTCTTTATTGTTGCAAGACATTTATTAAGGGCTCTTAGGGGCTGCACTGTGTCCCTCCAAAAGGTATGTTGAAATCCTAATCTCCAGTGCCTCAGGACGTGGCCCTATGTGGAAATAGTGCTATTGAAGATATAATTAGTTAAGATGAGGTCATACTGGAGTAGATTGGGCCCTTAATCCAATATGACCTGTGCCCTTATAAGAAGATGACATATGAAAACACAGAGTCACACAGAGGGAGAATGCCATATAAAGACAGAGGATTAGAGTGATGCCTCTATAAGCCAAGAAACACCAAAGATTGTTGGAAAACCACCAGAAGCTCAGAAAAGGCAAGGAAGGAATCACTTATAGGTTTCAGAAGAATCACGGATCTGCAACATTTTGATTTCAGACTTCTAGCCTCCAGAATTATAAGACAATAGATTTCTGCTGTTTTTAGTCATCCAGATTGTAGTATTTTATTATGGTAGCCCTAGGAAACTAACATAAGAGCCTATGTGCCAAATTTCTTTGTAGCATTTTGGATCAAAGTTAAATTAGATGTGGTCCCACCCTCAGGGAAATGCCAGATAGGATTTGAGAGAGAGGGAAGGGGGATAAAGAGGTTGGTTAAGAGCTTTGTGTTGGTAGTACACTGGCTTTATGAACTGCAAAATAAGGGGGAAAACTGAGCTGGAAAACATGGAGCTCTGGTAGAATGACATGAGTAAGATGCCCTCTGTCTTCTTCCTTTAGAAGTCCTGCAACTAGAGACTACAGCTTTAGAGATTGAAAAGATGGTGTCTGTTTACAAGAAAAAGGAAGCAATGATCACTAAAGTCAGCATGAGTTTAGCAAGAAAAGGGGCTGTCGGGGTCAACTCATCACCTATGACAAGGAAATCAGACTGGTAGATGACAAAAAGTAGCAGACAAAGTGTAGCAAGAATGTATTGATAAACCTGGTAATTTTCCTTATGATGCCCTGATGGACAAGATGGGGTGTTTTGATTTGGGAATTGAGTGAACAGCTATACTTATGGACTGATGATTAATTAATGGAGCTATGGCAATCTGGGTTGAGGTTTCCAGTGAAATGCTAAGGACGCCTTACATAAGTGCTGCCTTGTTCAACATTTTTATCAGTGACCTGCATAACTCAAGCATTGCTGAATTTGTGTTTGATGGGTCAGATGACTTCATCTACACATGGAGTTAGAGATATTTTGAAGAGAGTGACCAAGTTGGTGACCTGAAGGAAAAAAATCAATCACGTGGTACAAGAAACTGGTGAGGTTTACAGGTACATGATATTTGAGTGGACCCAAGAAAGACATGACAGTCAAGAGAAGTGTGTTTTACTTGGATTGAAGGGTTGTGATCAATGGGTCAAAGAATAGAAAGGCAATCTCAGCTTGATATAGGAGAAACTTTCAGGTGTGAGAGGTTTTTTGTTTTTTTTTGAAGAACAGGCTGTTTTTACTTCTATATCTTGACTATGATATTATGATTCCCAAAATTGTTATTTTCCTACACCCCATGTTTCAAACCTCACATGGTAACACCTTTGGCTTGTTACTTAGGTAATTCAGTTTTTCTTTAAGTATCAATCAGAAAAGGAAGTCATATGCTTTCCTAAGACTGTATCTTACTGGTGTATGAAGTACCCCTCATGGATTAACCATTAATCCTAGTGTGTGAAACCTGAACCCTACAAACCCGAAGGGTTGTAGGGCTCCGTGGGATGTGAGAGACCATCTTGCTGGTCCCAGCCCTTTTTGACACAGGAGGACTCAAAGCCCTGTGGAGGCCAGTACCCTTCCCTGAGTTTGCGCAACTAGAACCATAGCACTGCTTTTGTGATGATTATTTGATTATGATTAGAAAAGATTATTATTAGGTAATAAAGGTTGTGGTTAGGGAAGATAAACATCACTAGCTTTGTCAAATGGCTGTGAGTTGGTGACATGAATCATCTCACTTAGAGACCTGGACTCAGAGGATTTATGGTTATTTCATGTATGAAGAACTTTCGAGACTTCAGTAGGCTGCCCCTGTTTGGTTCAGTAGGTGGAGCCAGTCTTCCTCATTAGAATAAGGCAAACAGATTCAACCCAATTATAAATGGAAAAAAAAAAAGTGCCTTCTGTCATTGAAGGTTGCAGAGAGCAGACTGGTTGGAGAACTTGGGTGCCGTGACAAGTAGAGTCAGAGCATGAGTTCCAAGTCAAAATCCATAGGGATCATTGGAGCTCCTTTCTCCAAGGGACAAGTGAGTAACAAGCCTGGCTTTGGATAGCTAGAATTTGTTAGAAAGTTTCAGACTTAAAAACCAGTATTTGTTATTTTCTGGTTAGTTAAGTTTCCTCATACAACCTGGCCCCCAAATGGTATGTATTTTAAAGGTGTTTCACCATCTTACAACTTTGTATAATTATGGTCACCAACTCACTTATTCTTGTGACTCCTAATATGAGCCACAGCTGATTTTCTTTGAATCTACAAAATTTTTCGTCATATTTTTTTAAGAGAAAATATTTTTATTTGAATAGAAATGGACTATTTTTGCATTGCAGCTACTCATTTAGATTTCTGTGCTCTCATTGCTTTTGATGCTACTGTGTATGTGGAGAGAAAATTTAAAGAAAACACACGTATTTAGTTATGTAATTAATGCTTAGAAAAATTACATAGATTGGCAGCAATATCCAGAGTTCATTTAATTTGGATAACCTATGTATTATTGCTTTATGCAACTTTATAAATGATTCATATTATTTGAGAGCTTTAATGATTCTAGAAAAGTGTTAGTCCATGGACTACGGAGGATCCTTTGTGTGCCTCACTTTGAGGGAATAAAAAGGAAAATTGAAAGAAAATCTGACTGTAAATTGGTAACATTGAAAGGACTCATGGATTTATGAAACTCCCAGATTGCCAGAGCACGCCAGCTACATTGAAATATATGTTGTTTTTTTTCCTGCCTGGGCGTGCTCGTTCTGGTCAATATGAGATTACAGATACCTCAGACTTCAGCATATGTCTGTATTTAAAGAGGGAAAGAAAAGAACAAAAATAAAACCAAACAAGACTAAGTGTGAAATTAAATTCTTAAGGTTGATTTTTTATCATTGTTTTAAGTGGATCTTCTCTAGGTTTGTCATAACTTTCTCTTTGTTCACCTGGGCAGCATTTCACTCCTCTCATTTTTGAACTCTTGCTTTGCACTCTGACTTTTATTGCAAAACCAAATGGGACAGGTCAGAGGTTAGAGACCCAAACTGCATGGGGACTCTCAGTAAATACTGCTTCACTTCCCCTGGAAATCTTTCAAAGGCCTTTCCCAGAATATAGGGACATTTTTGCTGACAAAATAAGTGTTTTTTTTAAGGCTGGGGTTAATTGCAAAATCCACAGTACACTTATTATTGGGACAGGTTCTAACAAAGACATAATTGAAATAGCTGACATGAAAGAAGAAAAGGAATGTAGGAAACAAATGAAAAAAGAAAAGGAAGGAGGGAGGGAAGGAAGGAAAGAAGGACCCTGAACACTCCCTTGCCCCTAGACCTCAGCAGAAGGTCTTATGCTGGAAATAGCAGCCCCCTAGGGGATAGTATTTTGAAATATAGCCTCATTCATTTTCTGTTCTCAGTAATTATTGTTTTCCTTCTACAGCACTTCCCTCATTAAAACATGGCTTCATGAGAATGAAGCTTATTGTCTCATAACAGTAAGGACTCAGAGAAAGATATTGGGTTGTCGGAAAAGACATGACATATTTTTCTATGTTTTTCGTTGCAAAATGCATCATGACTTTTCCAACAACCAAATATTTTTCTACATTTCTATAGTATAGAGGGGGGAAAAATGGCCAACATATAAGCATCTGTCCTCAACTAAAGGAGGTAAAAGTTTGACAAACAAGCAATGGAGAGGATTCGAGGGCAGATGACTTGAAGGTTGAGTCTGAGAAAGGACTCCATTCCCTGCCTCACTCCCTTGTAAGGCAGTGGGAGGTAAGAAGGATGTGGTGGCAGAAAAATGAGATAGGTATTACATTTATTTTATAGTTAACTAAGGCTAGAAAGTTGGGTAACTTGCTCAAGGTCACACAGCCATGACTGTGTGATCCCAGACAGGGCTGTTTGATCTCAAAGCCTGTGTCCCTGACCTGCACTGATGCCTCTTTAGATTCACAGTGGATCTTACACCTGTGGTCAGGTAGGAACCGGGGCACAGCTGGGCACAGCTTCAAAGTCAGCAGGGTTAACAAGTGACTTCCAAAGTGGGCCAATAAACTAAGCAATGAGAAAAAACTGATCGTGTGGAGCAGTTTGAAGCAAACAAATGAAAAGAATGCTAGGAAGTGTCCCTCTGGAAATGTAATGACTGTGTGAAAGCAAATACAGACTCAACGAAGAGATCTGTCTATAAGATTTGTTCTAAAGGCTAAAAGGGGAGGGAGAAAAAGGCCAGGGAAGTTTGATCCAACTGACAATTTTCTAACATCTACAAAAGTGTCAGCCCTACATTACAAAATACTGTGCCACAATGTAAAGAACCTGGGACCAACATCTAGTAACAGGGAGAAGATGAAAACAAACAAAAAACCAAAGGCAAAATTTGATTGAAGCAGCACTCCACCGGGGTTTTAAGAAAGGGAGAATATATCTGCTGGATGGGGGAGAGGGGTGACGCAAAAAGGGAGTGGAGTGAAGGAGTGAAAGGGTCAGGCAGAGTGTGTGGGGTCCGTTGCTGCCAGGGACAGGAATTTGACCTTGAGGATTTGCCTGGCAGCCAGGGCAAGTCATCTGCTAATTTGAATTGGGAGGAAATACTTGCTTGGTTTGGTGCCACAGCCCAATCCTTGGGATAGACACACCTGTCTTTTGTCACCTCTTTTCATTCTAATACGGGATAATGTATCTAATACCCTTGCAGGAAATTAGAATCAGAGAAATACACAAGAGAAGTGTTTCTTTAGCTCACTAACCTGCCAGGAGACTGGAGATTTACTGCCAGGAGTAAGCGTGTTAGCGTCTCTGATGTAAAACCAGCAAGGGTAGAATTCTTGTCCACTGTGCTTATTGAGCAGGCTAAAACCTGAAACTCCAGGTTGGTCTTGGTGGTTTCAGCTCCCATGTGATGAATTTCCCTGTTTTCTCCCCAGCTCCCTAACTACTGTGACGATCTGCACGTGGGTCTCTTTCGTACCACACTTTTTTTATTTTAGTGCTTTTTTTTTAACCCAAACTGTTCCCCTAGGTTTGCAAAGTTTCTCCATCACCCCATCCATTTTCCTGAACTTGTGTTGCATCACTCAGCTAAAATGTCATCTGCTCCACCTGACACACCCTGTCCCTGGCAGAGTTAGGAGCAGCCTGTTTTTGTTATGACATCTTCTATCTGCTTGGAAGCAAATCTCCAAGTACTGTCATTGGGGTTAAATATCCAAATCCCCTTTGGGTATTTATGTGTTACTCAAAGTCAGAAATCCTCTCCTTTTAATCGTTGTATCTTCACCTATCAGAGTGCTTTTGCACAAAATAAGTGTTCACTGTTGGTAACATTGCATGATGGGAAGAGGACATGCAGGTGTTGGATCCATAGGAACTGGTTCAGGTCCAAAGGCTCTGCCACTTGTTAGCTGCAGGCCTGCAGGAAACTGTAACCTTGCTCATTCTAGGTCCTCATATTTGACACAGGAGCAATCCAATCTACTACCTTGCTGTGATGACTAAATGAGATCATGTTTATTTCTGGCTCTGAAGGAACTCAAAAAATGATCGTTTCTATTCAAATGATTAAATAATTAAATTTCCTCTTGGGGCACCTGATGATCAAGATCATGTCTGAATTGCTTTACTTTTAATTGTTCAGCCACGAGGAGGAGTGGAAGAAGGTCCTAAGGCATTGAGAAAGGCTGGCCTGCTTGAGAAACTTAAAGAACAAGGTAATTTTTAAGCTGAAAGATGATCAGCCCGACGTCCTTCCTACTTTGAAGGAAGGGGCAGGCTCCTGCCAAAATGGGGTGTATCTGGAATGACGCTTGTACCACAGAATTACAGCATTGGCTAAACCTTAGAAGCACATCCTATTAAAAAAGAAAAATAAATAAAAGCAGTGTATGGGGAGAATGCTCAATAAATATTGCTTATTTACTCAGATATTCTGTCTTTTCAGCCAGAATACTGCATAAGAGAATCTGAGTGTGCAAAAACTGGGGCTGGGGTGGGTGGTAGGGGAGTTGGGGGGATTGAAATGAAAGGCAAGGGGTAGTGGAAAGTACACTACTAGAAAGAGGACCCCTATTTGTAAGAGGAAATAAAACAGTAATAATAACATGTGTGTATGCATACACACACACACACCCACAGAGGCATGCAAATGAAAAATTTTATTTTAAAAGTACAGGCTAAAGTAAATATCATCTTTACATATAAAACTCTGATACAAAGTGTTGGCAAGGATATCGAGCAACAGGGACCGTCAAGTATTTCCAATGAGAATGCACAATGATACAGCTCCTTTGGAAAGCAGTTTGGCAGTTTGTTAAGCATATATTTATCTTTTGACCCAGCAAACATACACCTATGTATTTACCCAAGAGAAGTGAAAACAAACATTCACACAAAGGCTTCTTTGGACTTGAAGGTTTGTAACAACATTATTTATAATAGCCCCAAAATGGAAACAACAAAATGCTCATCAGCCGGTACAGGCATAAATGAAAGGTGGCTGGCCCATCGCTACCATGGGACGCAGTGACTGCACTGGCTGCAAAGCGGCACGAGGGGCTGTGGGGGGAATGGAACCATTCTAAATCTCAACTGGGGTGGTGGTTGAAAGACTGTAGATATTTCTAAATCTCATTGACCTGTACACTTTAAATGAGTGAATTTTAGTAAATAAGAATTATACTTCAGAGAGAGAGAGAGAGAGAGAGAGAGAGAGCGAGAGAACCCACTAGAGAACAGAAGGTTTGGGTAAATGGACTGGACTAGTCCCTCAGTTAACAAGCATAATTTGGTCACATTTTATATCAGGTTAAATCTCCAGAAGGTGTTACTGAATCATAGATACACACAGACATGCATAAATACAATACACAATGATAAGTTAGTCCAGAACACTGAACTCAGCCCATATCACAGATTTACATGAAGCTCTGTACCTTGAAGCCTCTTGCAGGGCCTTGGAGGAAGTGCACCCAGGTCCTTAGGAATTTTGGGTTACCTTATTTAAAAAGTGTAATAATGAAGCCTTTATTTCCCGAGCTTGCTGAAGCATTAGGCTCGATGGTAATCACATATCCTTATTTAATTCTAACACTACCACCATGAGGCAGGTACAGTGGACGGAGCGGGGAGCCAAACTGCTTCAGCAGGTGACAGGATGGATTGAAACCAAGGGCTGTTAATATGGAATCAGAAAATTTAGAAAATACAGGTGTATTTTCATATATATATATATATATATATATATGACTTCTTTATTATAAATACAAAGCATGGTAGAAAAGCAGGAAACACATAAGCAGAGACAGAGACAAGATCACTGCCACCCGTTAAGCCCAAACCAGAAGGTTACCACTGTTGTCCTTACTCGCCTAAATGGATGGATCCGGGAAGTATTTACTGAGAATCCAGTGCACAGCAGGCAACGCCACGGGGCACAGGTGAGACGACGATGTCAGGCAAATGCAGACATGGCTCCTACCTTCACAACTTGCACAGTCTTGCCCTATTTTTTCCTTTGCTTAGACTTTAGAAAATATACCTATTTTGTAAATTTAAAATCATCCCGCACAGACCGTTTTGTACTATTTTTTTTTTTTAGTAACCTGTGACTTTTAATTTTAATTATAGAGTGTGATGTCAAAGATTATGGGGACCTGTCCTTTGCTGAAGTCCCTAATGACAGTCCCTTCCAAATAATGAAGAATCCAAGGTCTGTGGGAAAAGCCAATGAGCAGCTGGCTGGTGTGGTGGCAGAAGTCAAGAAGAATGGAAGGACCAGCCTGGTCCTGGGTGGAGACCACAGGTCCTATTTCATGACGATCTCTATGGGAGTTGGGCACAAATAGCATTTAGAAAGAATAACCAAAACCAGGAGAGAAAATGTGGACGGGAAAGCATCGATCCATAGTTTTTATCGATTTTTCTGCCTTTAAAAAAAATTCTTGGTTACTACTTTATATTGGAAACAGACTATTTGAAGTCTTGCATTGTCTTCATTACAGCAGAAAATACATGAAATATGAATTTCAGTAAAATTATCAGCACAGGCTTACATTTCTAAATAAATAAGCACTGAGGAAATTCATAGTCAGCTTATTGTACCTGATTACTGATAATAGAAACAATCCATTTAGGCCAACATTAAAAGGTGTTTTCCATCATAAAAGTAATACTTACACAATTTTTGAAATACACTTATAAAAGAAAAAAAAAACCCAGTAGTGATTGCAGTTCCCTCACAACCATTTCAACTGGAGTTGAAAATCTGGCATATTTCCTTCAGGCCATATTTTTTTCCCTTGCATATGATTTTGTTTGACAATTGTGTGCATGTGTGTGCGTGTTTGTGCGTGTGTGTGCGTGTGTGTGTTTTGTTCTTAATCTACAGTACAAATTTCCTTATGTTACTTCATGATATATAAGCAGAAGTTTTTACTCTTGCATAATTTTTCATTAAGGTATTATACCACTATATATATATATCCATCTTGTCAGATATTCAGGTTGTTTTCAAATTTTCACCATTACAAATAATGTGGCAAAAATGATTTTTGTGCATGTGCATGAGCATTTTTAATGTTTACTCTCAAGTCCCCAAAATAAGGTACCAGAAGTATGGTTAGATTAAAAAGTATAAATATTACAACAGCTCTTGATGCAGGAGTCAATTACTTCAGCCCCCTCACTTTTCTCTTCCAAAACCAAACTGTTAGCAAGGCTCCTGTGTGACAAAACTGCAGTTGAGAAACAGGGCCTTTCCATTTTAAGTGGAAAAAAATTTTAATATAAATTTTAAGAGTGGCAAAAAAGACAAGAACCCTAAAGAGAAACATCAAGACGAATAATCAACACTGAACACCATGGCACGACTGCTTCCACTTCGAGAATCGAAAAGTTCATGATTCTCTGAATTGTACTTGCAACATTTATGACTGGGCAAATGCAGGCATTGTATGAAAAACACTCATCTTTTAACTGTTGTGTTAGCTATTAGCTGTTCCATTCAGGCAAATTTTCTGGAGCTTGGAGTGTTTGAGATGAACACTGAGGGTACAGAGCAGGCTCAGAGTGGGTCTTTAAATGTATGGCAGGAGAGCAGTAAGTTCAAGCACAGGATCTGAGCGTTGAACAGAGTGAGTGCGAACCCGGAATATACTGGCTGAAGTGGACATAAGGACTCCCGAGTGATGCTTCCCAATTGTAAAGAATTGGGTTTTTAAAAAAATGGAAGGACTCTGTCATAATTCACTTGGGAGAATTAAATATTTATTGCAGAAAAGAAGCCTGCTCTGACCCTGAAAATGCAATAGTGTACCATGCTAAGAAATTTCTTGTGTGCCTTGCATTGTCACACAAATTTAATTTTTGGTGAAACTAAATTTGCTATTTTATTAGAAGGTAGTTTTGAAAAAAAATACAAATTATTTAGTAATGTCTCAATGTAAATGTAAGTTGTTAGTAAGTATTAAGTGTAAGCTCTGCTTTCTCTATCATTTTCATTATTTAGTTGGCATCTTCAATTTAAAACCTATGAGAAATATCAGCCACTTTGACTTAAAGGAAAATCAAGTGAGAGCATTGAGTGAATAATATGATGTTTGTAATGATATTGCCAACCTGATGTTCAGACTTTTTCCTCTAAAGCCTGGCGATTGGCAGCATATCTGGGCATGCCAGGGTCCACCCGGATCTCTGCGTCATTTGGGTGGATGCTCACACCGATATCAACACTCCACACACAACCACAAGTGGGAACTTACATGGGCAACCTGTGTCTTTCCTCCTGAAGGAACTAAAGGGAAAGGTAAAAGGCTGGTTGGTATTCTATTGCAAAATAATAAACTTCGGCAGAAGTTTAGGAGAGGGATGTAAGAACCCCTGTGCCATCTTATTCTTGGTATAATTTCAAACTGTTTCCTCGCAGCCCATAACAATGGGTTGTCAGGTAAAGGTGGTGAGCTCTATGTCTCTACTTTCCTTGATAGGTTGCAAGCTGACTTTATATATATCATCCATTTTGATTCTTACACTACCCTTTGTTAGCAGGCGGGGCAGAGTAATCTTTTATAAGCAAGTTTGCAGAGGTTCAGAGGTTACGATATATGCAATCCAACAAGTGTCCCTAACTTTCAATGTAAGATTTTCTTAAGAGAAGCACAGATAACCAAGTGGAAACATTGCAATTTTAGATCCCCGATATACCAGGATTCTCCTGGGTGACTCCCTGCATATCTGCCAAAGATATTGTGTATATTGGCCTGAGAGACGTGGACCCCGGAGAACAGTAAGTTTATTCCTTGATGTGACTGACTTACCATCATTTTTGTCCTTTTGAGTGCTAGGTATATTGGCCAAACCAATGATAAAAAATTATTTTAAGCACCAAGTCTATACATCTATACTTATGTCTACATATGTTTATGTACATACATATATATATATATATATATATGAATTCAGATTATTTTTATCTTGATTTGCTGTTAAAACATATTGATACATGGTTTACAGAAGTTAAATACTGTATGTATCTTACCACACTGATCTTTTCCTTAAAAGGAAATAGGAGGGTATAAAGTCGGTCTCCTTATTAATTGTAGATTATCTTAATATCTTCTTTCACAGCTACATTTTGAAAACTCTGGGTATTAAATACTTTTCAATGACTGAAGTGGATAAACTGGGAATTGGCAAGGTGATGGAAGAAACATTCAGCTATCTACTAGGAAGGTATGATGCGTGTGTGTGTGTGTGCGTGTGTGTGTGTGTGTGTGTGTGTAACATAAATATGATTAAAAGAACTTGCTACTGACACTAATCACTGTGAGTTATTACTAAAGCCTTTATGTAAAATCACGGAACTTCACTGAGTTACTGTTTTTATAAAGCACGGTAAAAACTATATGTATCTACTAACTATTAAGACAACTTTAAACTGAATTCCTTTCCCACCTCTTAAAAGAAAGAAAAGGCCAATTCATCTGAGCTTTGATGTTGATGGACTGGACCCATTGTTCACACCAGCAACTGGCACACCAGTCATTGGAGGTCTGACTTACAGAGAAGGCCTCTACATTACAGAGGAAATTTACAAGACAGGTAGGTATGAATCTGAGTGAATGAAGAAGCGAGCATACACATGGTTAACAGATATTTATACTCTGATCTGAGAATCAATCCTCTACTGACACAGCCGGATGCCCATCACATGAGGCAATAGCGACAGTGGTTTCAGCTGATCAACACCTCTTTTCACTTCTGGATAATATTTCAAAGATACTGAATTTAAAATGTCACCTATTTAGTGAATTACCTTATTTACGTTTGTTGTTGTAGGGCTACTGTCAGGATTAGATATCATGGAAGTGAACCCATCTCTGGGGAAGACACCAGAAGAAGTAACGCGAACAGTCAACACGGCAATAGCAGTGACCATGGCTTGTTTTGGAGTTGCCCGGGAGGGTAATCATAAGCCTATTGACTATCTTAACCCACCTAAGTAAATGTGGAAACAGTATGTAAGAATCTCACAGCTAATGACATAATTAGCAAATCTAATAATGTACTGAAGCTTACAGTTGGCCTCTTAAAGATTTGGTGTTTCAGAAGAATGTTTTGCCTTAGTAAATATTAATACAATTAGTATAAACTGTATCAGTTCCCTCTTAGTGTGAAATTCAAGATTTAGAAATTCAAAGTTTTGTAAAATTAAAAAGCTTGTATTTCCTACATAAGCCCCCATGCATAGAATGGGATTCCTGCTATCAGGAGATAAAACTACCCCATCTGAAAAGGGACCATATTTCCATGTTGTTCAAAAGATGTGATTTTTATAATAAACTCTTTATAATAAGATTCTATCACGTCTACATGATTCTAAATATATGCAAAATACACACATACACACACACACACACACACACACACACACACACACGCACACACATTCTGCTTAAAACTACTAAAAGGATTTAAAAAGCCACAGTGAGTTCATCATCCCCAAAATATTGTAAGACCTTGGTGAAACTGAACTTTCTGGCTCTGGTTTCTTCATCTGTAAAATGGGTAATTATAAGGCTTCGGCAATCTCCATGTTCATTAATATTAGATGACCACGTTTTATTTTTTTCTAACCTTTAAACATGGTGTTGGTTTATATTTTAAGCATAGTAGCCTCTGGGAGGTAGAAGAAAGAAATCAAAATGCTATTTGTTTCTAAGGTCTGCTAATTCAAATAGGGGTTTCACCTAAAACTATCAGTGATTTCCAAACACCCCATCCTGCACTCATTGCAATTATACTATGTCTCTCATTAGCTGAAATCTTTCAACAGCCCAGAAAACTCATCTTGGCTCTGGAATATAGTGAAGAGAGTGGAAGAAAATAAATGAGAGTGAACTATAATCAAAACCAGGGAAGCAAACTCCTCTCCTTCTTCCACACTTGTGCAGAACTCGAGTGGACTGTAATGAAACAGGCCCCGTGAAAGGGGCCTTTTATTGCAGCTGTTGCAACAGCCATGTCAGCCTCTACCTACCAACTGATTCTTCACATGCAGCCCAGGGTTTTAAACCTAACTATTGACACTATATGACATAATTAGCAAATCTAATAATGTAAATCTAATAATGTAAAATGTGACATAATTAGCAAATCTAATACGGACTTTGTAAGATATTTTACTGAATTACTTTTAGATAAGACCAATTATACTGGATCTTGCTTTATGTATTGTCCTATATAGTAGCCACATGTGGTTATTTAAATTAAGATTAATGAAATTTAAAATTCAGTTCCACATTTCAGTGCTCAATAGGCACATGTAGCTGCTAACTACTGTATCAGACAGCACAGACAGAATATTTCCACCACTGCAGGAAGTCCTACTGGACAGAGCCACATTAAAGCTATAATACTATTAATTTAAAAACAAACAAACAACACTTGCAGGAAGTAATGAAGAAAGGCACCCTCCCCCCACCTCAGGTACATTTTATACATAAAACTTCTGTCTTCTATTAATGTCTCCAATTAATAATGATAATTCTTTTAAAAGCCTATTTGGGGAAAATCATATTCCCATTTTTTACGCTAGCGAGGAAATAATTGAATTTTTAATAAATTAATTGGAATGTATATGTCCTTAAGAAAGTGGTATTTTTACTTCCTTTATTCTATTTATATAGTACCAGTGTCACAATTATTTCTATTCTAGGATCTCAAGCAATATATTCCTTGAGGTAGCAAGACTATATTGAGACCATGTTAAGAGCAATACTTGAATTCATTTCTAGCATAAAATTTCTGGAGAATTTTAACAAAAGCCTAGAAAAATTACTTATACCATTATATAAATTTTAAGCTGGACTTGCATGGCAAATAAAGATCTAATGATTATAATAATATGAACCACAAAGAAGATAAAAATCGAGGAAGAATGTATTTGGAAATAAAAATTTGAAGTACAGTTGGCTATAAACTTCACTAATTCTTTTTAGAAAAACAAGTAACTCTTAATTCCTAGGTAAAGGTCAGTTACCGACTGTACTGTACAACCCATGGAAACAGCCCAGCTCTGTTATAACCCAGTCAACACACTACCTGGAACACAGCAGACATTCATTCAAATTGAATAACCAATCAGACAGTTGATTCATTCAACAGATTTTACTAATCATTTTTCAAGTCTTACAATAGTAATGCCATTCCCCCCCCAAATTAATATTGTCTCTCAAAATCTAATAAACTCTAAAGAACCAAAAGGTACACTGTATTTAAAAAATAAATAAACATTTTAATATTATAAAAATTCAAAGAATCATATCAGCTGCCAGGTGACTGTCAACCTGGAAAAGCTATTTATTTTTAAAAACAGATTGGAGAATCACCCTTTATGTATGACTTTATTAAGTTTATGTATTTCTATCTATATTATTTACTTAAATAACTTCCAACTCTTTTTATACACTAAATTCAAATCTACAGCAAAGGGAAAAACTTGCCAATCTACCTCAATAGAAACATTAGCTTACTAACTTGGAAATCTACGCTAAAAATGTTAATCCATTTACAAAGAATATGAAACCGTTTGCTCCTGCAATGCAATGAAACTTACAGTTCTTTATTGACAAAAATCTCTTATCCCAAAGATATATCAAAAGATTTTTATGTATAAAAGGGTTTGTAATAATTTCTACATGTGTGATGCCTTTAAAATAATGTATTTGAAAACTGAATAAGTCATTAATAATAAAAAATAAAAACAAAAGCAATGGCTAGAACAGGAATGAATGAAAGTATCTAATAAGTCATTTGATCAGATACCTCCACATTCCTAGGTAGCGCTAATAAACTGTTAGGGAAAAACATCTAGCTTACTTGATCTCTCAGAGACATAAGCACAGATAGGGAGATGGGAGTTATAAGGTGTCAATAGATTCACCATTTGAATCAAAATAAAACAATCTGAACTTCACTGCTTCTGCTACATCACTATGTAACATAATCATGTTCAGATTTAATAGATTTGAGTCCACTTTCAAAGACAGATGTATTTCCATTCTCACCACAGAACATCCTGACGTCACTGAGTTCCTGGTAAAGACACTGGCACCTGATTAGACTGAGGTGCTGGAGACCCACTATTTATGGCTTGTGGAGGCACTGTAGCTGGTTCCATCTTGCTAATGTGTGTGATGAATCGAAGGCGAAGTTTTAAAGCTGGTTTTAAATTACAGATAATCTTCTCTACCTAAGAAACGAAAACACATTAAAAATATTTTAACAAGAGAACTGTAATTTCCCACCTTTTAAAGAAGTAATTTACACATATCCTGGACAATAAACTAAGAAGTGGGGTGGATGAGAAGGTTCTCTACAGGTTTTGTGTTTTAACAAAAGCAGATACAATTATTTCACGTGAGAAAAACCGTATGTTCTCCCTCACACACATTATAGCTATGTATATATGTGTAAGTGCATTATCTATCTAGACACACATATACTTACAAAAACATACCCACTCTGCCAAAAGCTAGTAAGTTTATTTACACTGGAAATTTTACACATGCAACAGGTGATCATTTTTTGAAAATGTCATCTTTGCAGAAGCATGAAGCACGATTATATTTTGAAGTTCTTTGAATAATGTATGACTGTAACATTTATCCACAGAGCTAATTTTTTTTGGTCTTGATTTATACTTGGAATGCAAACTAAATAATATCAGATCTACTCTTACTGAAAATACTTTAAAGAAATATATAATACATCAAGCAGTTTCACAGCTTTCTTAGCTTTACTCAAATGCTCTTTCACCTTGCTGGGAAAGATCAGCCCATTTACAATTTTTTTTCTGGATTCCTCTGTGAAAAAGTGTCTTCAGCCCAAACATAAAGGAGATGCTAAATAAGACATGTCTGGATTGGTTCCCACTCAACTTTCCTTGACAATCATGCTGAGGCATAAACGAGTCGACATCCTCCCCATTTCCCCAGCTCCAAGGAAGGAATCCAGGAGACGAGGATGCATGTGTTTACATATCAGTTTACCTCCCTTTCCCATTATAGAAGGAAATCAAGTATGAAGGGGAGGTCATTTAACTTCACCTACCTGCCTACTACCGCCACCCTTCTTAAACAGCTGAGACCGTTTCCTAGATAGAAAATTCAGCTATGACTTTCCACTTCCAGACAGCTCTACTAGGAAGTGGTTCTTTACATGTTGAGTCAGAATGTGCCTCCCTTTAACTTTACCAGAGTTTATACACCCTTTGAATTGACACAGAACAAATCTAATACCTATTCCAAATGGCAACTCTCCAAATAGTGAGGACATGAACAGTTCCCTAGGACTTTTAAAATTCAAGTCAAGCATCCCTACTTCCTTCAAATGTCCTTTCTGAAATTATTCTCTGGCTCCTCCTGGCTTCAGGCTTCTTGTCATGCTGCAATTGGTCCAGTGCTTCCACAGTGCACCCTAATCACTGCGGGACAAGGAGGACCGCCTTCACCCATAACACACCTGTCTGGTCTTTTCAGTAGCCACATCCTACTGTTTCTGCCTAATGAGATTAGTGTTGGTCAGCTAACTCCCTTAGGTCTTTTTCCAATGTTCTGTTGCAAATATCAAGGGGGAAAGTGTGAGAAATTGTAACATGTATTTACTCTTACTTTAATACTATAGCCAGAATAGTATGTTCATGTAGCCTAAAAAGGTCTGCTATCAATCCTTTCTCCTTAAAAGAAAATTAACAAGAACACTCACCCAAACAAAAAAGTCTATCACCATATATGCATGTTTTTCAAACAAAACATTATTAGAAAATAATTAAAGTTAACTTACTTGTTCTTTTACACTGTCACCGGTAAACATATACTTCATATGATACAGGAAGTCACAGATGGGATCCATGTAATTTAAATGTGGGCTACACTGGTCTACATTCAGCAACATGTCATAAAATGCCACACCAATCTGTTTGACAAATCGTATGAAATTATTTCAATAGTCAGAAATGGTCCAATAATTCAGCATGATGCAGCTGGACTCCATTCCAAGGCTAGCACAGAGGGGTGCCATGTTTTTGAAGAACTGTCACTGATCATACAAACCTCTGTGCGCTTGGAAGCTATGACATGGCCTGCCTTTTAATAATGGAATCGATAGTGCTACAAAATGCCCCAACAGGGCTTAAACGCAATTTATCTTTATAACTTAGTAGTTTCTCTTAAAATTAAGAGATAGATGATCCCTTTTCAGGAAACCACCTCTCAATTTCTGGGACAACTGCAATCTCAGGGATCCTTTAGATTATACTTCTTATTTCTATTTGATGGCTCATACTTTTAAGATTCTACTCCTGACTCATTTTCTTTTCTCTGCACTTTTGTTATAGGTGATTGACATCATCCAGTCCCATGTTTTTAATTAATTCCTCTGTACTATAGTGTAGGTTTTCAAATGCATTTCTCCATCCTTATTCTTCTCAACCTTGATGATGGGTTTTCCCCCATGCATTTCCAATTCAACACATCCCACACCAAACTCATTATAGGTATAGTAACTCATGGGCACACTAAGTTCTCTAAAATCACTCTTAGATTCTACTAAACCAACTTCACTACTAATAGTTATGACATGCAGTTTGAAAAACACTGGGAAAGAAACCTAAATAGATCTTTTAGAACTTAATTTTATCACAGAAAACCCAAATTATACTTTACCTCTATCATACATCGAGTTCTCTCTTGCTGAAATCTTTGTAAAAATGGACCCACAAGATGGTACACATAAAGCAACTGGAATTCAGTCTTCACTATAGGAAGAAGTACCTCCGTGAGAAATCTAAAATTTGAAGACAGAAATTTCTTGTGACTTGAAATCAACTGAATTGTTTGAATTTTGTTAACACAGCCTATCCAAGTATGGCAATAATTTTTTAAAAACTCCTTTTAATTTTGGTAACGTTACTAATCCATCTCACATTTCTCACTAGTTCTTTTCATTTGATTATTGGAATAAATTCAGATTTAAAAGTCATTCATAAAATTAATTTTAAAAAAGTGAGAAAAACCAATCTAAGGTAAATGCCATTCTCAAGAAATCTGAATCGAATTAATACCAATTTTATAGTCAAGATACATAATCAGAAAATAGGTTAATATCAGTTACTCAGGTTTCAAAAGGCAACTTTTGGAATATATTCTGAAAAAAAACAAACGTGACTAAGCCTCCTTAAAATGTAATGGAAAATTAGATACCCGATTATTAATAGCATATACAAATTAATTTTTTTATAAACAATTCTGTAATAAAAGAGACTTCTGATTATGTAGAAGTTCCATTTAACTCTTACTTTGCAAGGTGTTCTTCTGAATGAGATCTATACCTCATGTGTAAATGAGATTAAAAAAAAATGAAACAAGTCAAATTTCTTTAAGAAATCATAATACCTACTTGGGGATGAGAGAAAGTTGCCCGATGCTGGAATGGTGCCACACAGCGTGCGCTAGAGCTAACGTATAGCTACAGCTCATCTCGGAGTAGGACTGATGGCATGCAGTGAAATCAAAGAGGCGGAATGGATAGCCAACCCACTCTGTTTCAGATGTCAGGCTGGGACTGCTGATAACGCTCACAATTTGATCATGAAGCACAATCCAATATGGCTCCTTTAAAACCAGAGGAAAGCCTGATGAAAAATATCACTTATCCAGTATTCCACCCCATATCTAGTGTCATGCTCCCAAACCTAAAATAACAGCACTTTCTCATTCTTGAGTGTTTTCTACTCATCCAGCTTGTGTCTATGAGCAATGGGAATTTCAAGACCAAAACTGGGTGGCCTCATCATAAGTTAATAACAACCTAGGAGAAGTGTCTGTGAGTTAGAGGGCTCTATACATGCATCTGTCCTGTTCATTTAGTTCCTGGTATTTGCTACACAGTAAATCTATCTTAATAATATTTATTATATAGACAATACTGGTACACATATGTAATTTATACATAAACAAACATATTTTAGAGGTGTGTAAGGAGAAAGTGATTCATAGAGGTGCATAATCAGACAAGTCTGGAGAGCCCAGGGTCAGACAGTATTATTGATATTCAAAGATACCACAACAGACAAGTGTGTGGTGCTGACTGGACACATGTGGAGGTCATGGAAGGGAGACGTCACGTGAGCGCAGAAGTCAGGGAAGGGGTTGCTGAGGAAGCAGACCTAAGCTGGCATAATGTCTTGTTCTCCAACATATCAGAAGTACCCAAAACATGTCTCAATAAGCATTATTTGCAAGAGCAAAGGCTATAGACACATGACATGTTAAGTGGTCAAAAGAAGATCAAATTTTAATGTAAAAATGAAGGGTGGATGGGTAAAGTGAGACCAATGGATGTAGAGACCCAAAAGTCAGGTGGCTTTAATTAGGTCTGATGCAGAAGGCAAACAGAACAGTCACTGTAGATTTTTGAAGCAGTAATATGAAAACTTTAGAAACATGAAACGCTTCATTAACTGCGTGGTGCCCTGTTATCTTTCAGCTGCACTCCATTACTACGTACGAGTCACAATCTCACTAACCGGCAGGGCAGTGATGATCAGTCCAATCGCGTTCATCCACGCTGTGATGCTCTCTCTCGGCACTAAAGGCTGACTACCAGTGGGAAAATAATAACAACGGGAAAGAATCAAAGCTTTATACAGTTGAAAATGGACCCTTTTAAGAACATACATAATTTGGGGGCTCACAAGGGACCCACTCCACTAGAACTACAATAGATTTTATTAAGTAAAAATTTAATATATGTACACAAAAACAAAGTAAGAATTTTTTTGTTGTTGTTGTCTCCTTTAACAAATGGGCTGAAGACTATTTCCACTTATTTATGTTTCTTCTCTAATCATTATCCTCTACTTCATGATGCTCTTTAAGGAAGGAATCTTGAAAGACTATAGTGAGAAGTTAACATTATTTCTAAATTAAATGCCAAATAGCTAACAAAGAATAGAAGTGGAAACAAACCCAGGTCTTCTGACCCTGTCCAGGGCTCATTCCATTACACCTATACCACAACAAGCTCTGGAACCAAAAGATAGTTACTATCCAACGTGCATCAGCCTTGGGACAAAGGTTTGTGTCATAGCTCCAAAGAAAATGTCATTCTCTTCATAAATAAACAGTGACTCTTACTGCAATGCAACAGGATACACACCTTTTCAGGACGACATTCAGAAGAGCATTCCCAACTTCTTTGCCTGAAACAGTCAAGGCCATGAGCTCCACACAAGTAACATGCAGCGCATGGGCAGCCGGGTTGGGGAACTCATTGAACCTCCAGTCGCAGTTTGGGAATGGACCGGGAGATTTGCCAGCCATCGGTGCAGAAGATTAAAGCAATAACTGTTTCATTATTTTGAAATTAATGGCTCACATTTGTATAGTGCTTTACAGTTTTCAAAATGTTTCACATGTAAACATTTTATTTGATGATCAATTTATCTGATTATGAAACCCCAAGAAGTGTTTTATCAGAGAGATTAAGAGGCAAATAATACAAACCAAGTACAAATAAGTATGACGTGGCTGAAATGCATTGACAGCAACCATGTGATTAACCATGAGATATAAATGGTTGGTCTTATAGAGGGAGCTCTTATAAATGACACGAAAGCTACAGATGCAGCCAAGGTATTCCTAGACCTCATTAATTGATTTATTTTAATAATTATAGGGCAGTTAATAAGAAAATTACTTTATAATAAGTAATTCTTTTACTTCAGGAAATAAATTCTTTTGTGTAAGAAAATAAATCATGTCTATTTATGTAAAATTGCTCTATCTAATAAATAGTGGCATGGTATAGAGACATGTTAAGTACAGTGTGCTGATAACTTAAAGCCTGATATCAAAATGAAGAAATAAAATATCTATATGGCAGCTTTTTCACTAAAAAGGATAGAATAAGTTTTATTATCTATTAATATTTTTAAAAACATTCAAGGGTTACTTAAAGCAACAAAGTTGCAAACAGATCCATGTACTACAATACATAGTACACTTATTTAGAAATAGGATTGTTTTCTTTGAAACAAATCTTAGGTCTCTTTTTTAAGTATAAACTTTAATGGCGTGAATTTCTGCCTATCTGGCATGATAGTGCTAATTTAAGATTTCAAAACCTTTAACAGAAGTAAAAGTAAAAATGATCTTTAAAAAATGTGCAGTTTTGGAATATGCAAAAATATTACATTGAAAAGACAACACAATCTATGTTCCCACAAATAAACACACAGTTATTTCTGAAGAATCTGGAAAATCACAATAAAAAGGATATTATCCACTAGTCTGCCAATCAATCTGCAATAGTAAGAGTCATCTGGAACCCAAGGATTTTCTTCCAGCGCGTTCATAGCGCACTTCAGATAAGTGTCACTTAGACACCAGCCCTGCGGTCGATTATCCTTGAGTGAGCCAATGATCGCATGGACAAGTTTTCGTTTGAGATATGCACGCTCTCTCAGGTGCATTTCATAATAGTGCAGAGTGTTATACAAATAAGTCACCGGACGATCTGCCAGGAAGAAAACAGATCACCACAATGTTTACCTGGTTACTGACAACTGTGAAAACTAATCCTCTATTTTCAAGATTACCAAAAACCAGCTCAGAAAATTATAAAACTGTTTCACAAATATTAATTGCAGACAATGAATATTTTAATTTTAGGATGAGGCAGAGGCTTCTAATAATATACATATCTAGTATTTAAGGATAGTCATTACACTCTGAGGTAGCAATTTCACTTCTAGAAATTTATCATGCAAAAATGACACATGTGCAAAGAATGTTGCTACAGCCATGTTCGTACCAGCAAAAGATTAGAACAGCCTAAGTAGTCTAAAACAGGGGACTGATTAAGTAAATTATGACATGTGTGAGGCAGATTTTTATGTACCGATAAAAAATAATCAACCCTAATACATTATAAAGGTAGAAAAAGCCAGGTGCAGAACAATGTGTATATTACGTATTATTTGTGGGGAAAAAAAACCAAACAGAATATCTAATAAAGAATACATAAGAAACTGGCAACAGTGGTTACCCACAGAGAAAGAAGCCTGCTAGGTGGAGGATAGCGATGGGGCCACTTTTCACTGCATGCCTTTCTGTACCATGTACATGTATCACCTAATCCAAATGAAAAATGTTTTTAAAGGAATGCTCACTTGAACTTCACTCTGTAGTACTAAAATTCAGACTTCTGCATTGGAGGAAGACATCTTAGATCAAGGACTCAAGAGAAATGCCCCCTCAGATAAATACACTTTGTCCTCATAGTGGCTTCTTGGGACTTTCACGCTTCGGTCACTGACTCTACCATTCTCCAGTACGAGGCTTAAAACTTTAAAGTTATCTTGGATTTGTTTCTTTTGATATTCTCTTCATAACCAGCCAACCCAGTCCTGCTCCTTCTTGCTTAACTACCTGTCTTGTCTTTCTTGTTCCCACTGCCACCATGCTTGTTTAGATACTCATCATACACCTGAACTTTTTGACCTAAGTCATTGAAATGGCTTCTTCCATCCAAGACATGCTGCCAATTACAACTGGATTTATCGAACATAAATGCTTTCCATTTCTGCCTTCCAGGCCATCACCTTACTCAGTAACTTCCAGCTCATTCTGGATTATCCGCAGGTTATAAAGTCAAAACTTCTCAGTCTTGCATTTAAGATCTATTGTCACGTACAATATACAAATTTTCAAGTTATCTCAATGAGGTGATTATTTTCAAAATGTTTTGTTTTTAATACCTTCATGATTTTTCCAAAGGATTCCTTCTGCCTAGTAAGTTACCTTCTTTCTGTTTATACAAATCACATATATCACAGCTCAAATCCTACACAAGAAGCCTGCCAAGATCCAATCAGTTCACAATGACATCAGTCTGCTGTGAACACATACATTTCTCCTTCTATACTCATTTGGCAATTAATCACACGTTATATAAAATAAGGCATCTCTTGCATTTCCCTTTTTTTTTTTTTTGCTATTTAATAAATTTACTATGATTACCTACTGATATTTTTATGTTGACTGTTTTATACTTCATGGTATCGTCACATAGCACTTACCCTCAAAACATTTTTATTAAAAGAAATTAAAAATAAAATGTTTAGAACCACTATTACCCATATGGTCATGCGCAGCCTGCTTTTGTTTATCGAACTATTAGATGGAATTAAACTTTGAAAAAAACTCACCATGAAATTTATATAAGCCTCCTAGGTGATCTAGTAAAGTCTCCAGCGATTTGGATACTGGAAGCAACTCTAAAAATCTGTGGATTACTATATCAAATACTGGCAGGAATCGGAGACACACATTTCCAAAATAGATGGGCAGATAAGGGGACTGGATCTGCACAGGAGGATCGACCTGCTCCGCCAGGCCCTCAAAATACAGCTTTTCTGGGTATTTCTGTGGAAGTGAGGAAATTATAAGTGTTTAGCATATCTCTTTTTACGCTCTTTATAAAAAAGCTAAATAAACTTGCCATTTTTAAAAGAATATGAAACCATGTTTGCTCCTACAAAGCAATGAAAGATAAAATCCTTTACTTGACAAAAATTTCTTATTTTAAAGATACACCAAAGAGATTATGTACAAAAGGATTTGTAATAACTCTTTTCATTTTGTATTATAAGTACCCATGTCTACTAAAACTGCAGTTTTAATTTATTTTTAACTTTAGAGATACTCTAGAACCTTGAGGAAGTTTAGAGAGCTAACTTGCTTCTATATAGACCAGAGAGAAAACAGTAGAACTACAGAGAAAACAGCCAAATCAATTAGTCAAATACCTAAGTACGGCTTAACAAGGATTAATTGCAGCAGCAATTTGAATTGGTACCTTGTGATAGTTCATGTGCTTGGTGTGCCAGTCGTTCTGTAGCCAGTGCTCTGGGGAATTTTCCTTCACAAAGTCACTTACTCGGTTTCTAAAATCATTTGGTTTGAGTAACAGCAACTGAATTATGAAATAACAAACCTGGGCTTCATTTCCTTCATGACTACGCATGGCCTTTGGAGAACAACAGAAAAATTATGTGAAAATGCCCAACCTATGCAAAAGTATGGCCCTGCCACAGTCTAAATCTGAATACAGTAAAATCTTCGTATATCTCTATTTTATCCTTTTATTTTATTGAATTATAGATTTATGTTTTTCCCCTAGTAGATTATAACCATCTTTATATCCTCCACAGCTAAGAGGTTAATGATAACCAACTAAGCCACCCCAAATATCATCACAAAAATATTAGAAAAAAAAATGTAGCATGTTCAGCAGGGTTCAGTGTCTTTTCTTAAAATTTTGCCTGAAATAGATATAAAAGCCAGGAGAAAAAAACCATTTGAAGAATACTAGGTGGCTATGAGAAACACTGTGTTTTCACTGTGGCTACTAAATCGTACTGAAATGGTTATTAGCACTCTGCAAAGAAATGCAGTGACTTTACTACTTCCTGCCTCTAGTGGGAGACTTTGAGAATCAACTCAGGGTCTAACTGCTTGTACTTTTAGAGCATCACAAGGCCAGGACCATGTCTGTCTAATTTACTCAATACCTTTATGCATAGAACATATTCAATACATAGTTATTGAATGAAGGAATAGAAAGACTGGGAAATCTCTAGTTCCTTAGGGAAGTGATAGTAATGCTTGACTAGAGTATAAATTTATTAATTCCTTAGAGGCAATATAGAGTAGATAGCACAACAGTCATATATGCCCTGATCCAAAAGAGAATGAGACAGCTTAAACACTTATTCTTAAATAAGCATATTCTTACCAGGCAGAGAATTAATCTGTCCAGTGTAACAATGTTGTACTTCCATACCATGTCGTTAAGAATTTCAATGCATTTGTTGAGTTGCTGACCCCCAGCTGACGTAGAGAACTCATATACCAGGAAATCCGCAAATGTTCTCACATGGGCTACCAAGGCCCTGGCTCCAATTCTTTCTAATACTCTGGAAAGCAGACAGTAAAAAATAAATTATATTGCTGTATGGTGTAACAGTTTGGCAAATGGGAAGCAGATCTAGGTTTCTGGTTTACCTGTAGCCAATCTGATTAATATGATCTGTTTCCAAGAGCATTTTCCAGAGAAGACAAAGAAAGAGAGGGGAGCCTTGCACAGAAAAGTGGGTAATGATGGCGTTTTCATCGGTCATTGACTTCCACTTCCTATACTCCTCCTCCACGTTTTTTTTCAGATTAAAACGGCTTTCCTGAGGTACATTATTTTGTTTGAAGAATGCCTAAAAGGAGGATCAGAAGTCTATTTCAATGGTTGCAGTAAAAAGAACCTGGATATAAAGTTAAGAAACGAGCTTGAGGCTTGACTCTGATGGTAATAAACTCTTGGTGACCTCAAGCAACTCAGTAATCAAAGCCTGAATTTCTGTATTGGGAAAATACGCAGGCTTGACTAGATTATAGCTAAGTTTCCTCTCCTGGATTTCCCAAATGGAAATCCCAAACAAGCCTCCATTCAGCTTCCTGAATCATCTGTTGATACTTCTGCTCATTTTGAAAAGAATGAAAATAAAATGTGCCCTTTGGTTACATATTTCAGTATCTCTATAAGGAAAATCTATTATACTAGCCCAATGCTTCTCGGAGCATGGCCCCCAGATCATCAGTTTTAGCATCACCTGGAAACTGTAAGAAATGCAAATTCTTGGGCCCCAACCCAGACCTACTGAATCAGAAGCTCTGCAGCCGGGGCCCAGAATCTGTATCTAAACAAGCCCTCCGGGAGACTCTAGTAAGTTTGAGGACTACTGCTCTAGCCCTGTTAGTTAGAAGTTATAGAAAACAGATGTTCATCATGTCTAAGATTTTCTTTGAAAAGTACTGTAGAAGACAGTGAGGTTTTCCTTTCCCCACAGTATAAAGGCCAAGTTTATAGTTTTTCTCTGTATGATTTTTTTAATCCACTCAAGTGTAGCATATGTGAATTCTGTGAAGCTCCATTCAATTGTATTTCTCCCCATTTCACTTCTATGAGAAAGAATTTCTCAGGTAATGTCTTAATTCCCACAAAGTTCTAAAAGTGTTAATTAATAAGATGAAACCATAATAATTAAAATTTTAGAAAGACATCCAGCCTTAGACTAGGACAAGGAACAAATCAAGATGTTGGAATAGCAAATTTTTAAAAATAAAAGCTAATTTTCTTTGGATGTCACCAAAACTAACTCTCTAGAATAGTGTTGTAAACAAGAAAAATGATTTCATATGTAATCAACATGTAATTCAAGACCAAATTACCTGTAGTGGGCCTGGAAAACAACTAAGAGTGTGGGAAGCCCAGTTGTGAGGAGTAAAACTCATGATGGTCTGAAGTATGTCTTTACACCAAGTTCCCTGGATTGAATCAGAGCCTGTAAAAAAATCTAAACAGAAACAAGCAGATGTAATCCAGATATAAATGATCATATCCATAATTCATAAAGAGATCACAGAGAAAGTTACAACAACTATGTATACTTAGAGAATTTCACTCAGTGTATTTACTGTTTAAATGGTAATATTCAGCTTAGGAGCTAAATTTGAATAATATGAATTATCACATTGGTAAATATGAACACAATTAGTGAAAAGAAGACAAAAGACATCTAGAATCTTTCCTTTTTTTAAGTTACAGAGCATCAATGATACAACAGTTGTACAGACTGATCACGACTGCACATTTAGTTCACTCTGACACTGAGGTATTAGCACTCTTTTGAGCCAAGAAGTAATAGAAGGAATAGAAGTAAGAAAGTAGATATCTTTTCTGGTGGTTGAAACAGCTATCGACTACAATCAAATCAAAGAGGTTTATTTATGTAAAATAAGATAGTTTACACAAATGTATTTTAGGTTGCTAAATTCAGTAACTATTTCTTCAACACAGCAGTTCTCAAAATGTGGTCTTGTAGACTCTGGTCCCCAACATCCTTTCAAGGATTTGATGAAATCAAAACTATTAAACTAATACTAAGATATCATTGGCTTTCTTACTGTGTTGATATGTGCACTGATGGTGCAAAGGCGATGATGGGTAAAACTGCTGGCCTTCAGAACAAATCAGTGGCACCAAACTACACTAACAGCCACTGTAATTTTCACCACTATACGATCTCAGTGAAAAAAAAAGTGCCAATTCCACTTAATATCCTTAATGAAGTAGTAAAAAAGGGATTATATCTCAGCCCTTAAGCACACCTATTTTTAATACTCTGTATGATAAAACAGAAGTATACATTAAGTGTTCCAGGTATACACCAAAGTATGAAGGGCATCTTGAGGAAAAGAATTTGTCAAGTAATTATTCAATTACATTAGCTCTTTTTTTCATGGAATTCCAATTTTACTTGAAAGAACAAGTGACAAAAAAACTATATTTATTCAGACTTGGGCATTAATCAGATATTTTCTTGAAAATTTTCAAAGGGAGCCTGTCACTTCAAGGAAAACAAATGACTGCATCTTTTACCAATACGTAACCTTTCAAGTGAAAAATCAGAATTTTAGAAAACTTGTATCCATTACCATGAGCCTGATAACTTTAGAAACTTGAACACGTTTCTAATGAAATTTATAGTGATAGTAACAACTGTAATTTTATGATATTGTATAATGAAATGTGTCAATATTTACAAGATCTACATAACTCGGTGAGCCAATGTTTTCCAAAAACCAATTCATAAAGTTACGAAATACGTATGGATAAAAAACTGGACAAAATAGATCCATGGATTATAATGTGACAGAATGTAAAATGTTCACTGATAGGATTTTGGATTCCACATTGCAACTAACATTTAAGAAATTTGTCCAATTTTGTGTGCCATCGAAGACTACTCACAATTAGCTGAAATGAAAAGACTATTAAAATACTTCTCCCCTTTCCAATCTCATATCTGTATGAGGCCATATTTTCTTCACTTACTTATACTTAGTTTGCAATACATGAAATGTAGAAGTAAATATGAGAAACCAGAGATCTTCCTTTACATCAGACATTAAAGAGGGATGCAAAATAAAACAATGACACCTCTTCTGACTAAAGTTTTGTTTTGGAGAGTACAGGGTCTATTTTTCATAAAAATATGTTATTTATGTTAACATCTAATCAGTTTATTTTGTTTTTTAAATGAATCAAATAAACACTTATAACTGCTATTTTAACATTTAATTAGGTAAATATTAATAGATATAATCCATACAACAAAATCTGTGGAAATTTCAATTATATTTTTAAGAGTGTAAAGTGGTCCTGAGACCAGAAAACTCGAGAACCACGACTGAAAAATGATGAAAGATGGCTGAAAACTGATGCTCAACCTGGTTAAAATGATAGTACACAGAAGAACCTACATTAATGATTGAAATGGTGAAGCTATCAAAACAATCGTTTTTTTCTTGAACAAATGAAAAGTATCTTTTCAGTATGTTATCCCTTCATAATCAGTAGGGACCCAGCACACCACTCTAATGCATCTATTTTTGTTGATGGTGGTGGACCGTCACTGTACCTGTTACGTGAGTTGCTCTAGCTAAGGTCAGTATCAAGGCTCGGTTCAGTTCCTCAGATTCCGCAGACAGCACCGTTTTGGGATCGCTAAGGAAGCGTGTAAACTGTGGCTGTACCTCCGAGCTGCCTAACGCTGTTATAAGCCTGAGTGCAGTGCTCTCAACACTGAAAGGTGGCAGAACAAAAAGAAGCATGAAAAAGTTAACTTGCACATAAAATTTCAAAATTATAGAATTAAATCTAATACTAGTTTAATTACAACGGAAAAACAGGCAAGCTGAATTTTCCTTCTTTGATTAAAAAAAACAAAACACTCCTCTTTTGTGTGAGATGAGCTTCACTTAATTTGCTTTTGAAACCTGAGGTGCCAAATTTTATAGTGAAAAACCACCTGACATTTTTGAACATTTGAAAAAGATAAGCTTATAGCCCAAAGGACAAAAAAAATCTCACCTGGATATACAGCATTTCAAAAATTACATTTATTTTTATCTGAAATATATTTTGACTTAGAGCAAAATCAAAATGACATGATACTTTAACTGTAATCTGAAGTATATTTAAATCCAGTATTCGAAAGGGTTGAGTTAGGCCATAATGTCAAAGATCTTGGAAGTACTTATTATTCGCCCAAAGATCCCAAGGCAAGGACTCAACTATCTTAATAAATGTTTGTTTAAAAAGCTGCACTCTATTCATTCTATACTGAAAGTAAAATACTCCAGAAGTAGAGGAGCTTCATGACAAATGGATAAAAATATTATAAGGTACAGGATTACGTGCCTCATCTCCAACAAAGCTTCTAATAAATCTTAAGAAAAGACAGTTTTCAAAGAGCTCACCAGAGATGGAGCTGGTTCTGGTTTGTTTGTGCAACTGCAGCCAAAGTATGAAGATGACTCAGGAGCTGAACTCTGTAATGAGGCTGAATGTGGTGCATCCGGTAGCTGAACATCTCAAGAAGTGTGTGTAAAATTCCCCAGGCATGAGACTTGAAAACAGTTGGCAAAAGTTGACCTTGAGGAATAAGATAATTTAAGACAATGACCAGTAAAAGCTGTCATTAAAAGACATCTGCAGAAAAGTCACACTGAGTAAAATCTACATAAAGATTTGATTGTGAATACACACACACATGCACACAAACACACACACACACACATACATATGTACACATATTTCCCAAATTTTCTCCATAGTTTCTACTTTAATGTAAGGGAAAAAATTCAGATCATAATTATAACTTGTTTGCTTTTTTTCCCCCTGGCATTTGACAACTGATACTCAAGTTCATCTGGAAAAATAAGACACAAGATATGAAAAAAAATTCTAACCTTCTGCAAGTCTGTTACCTTTTGAATTATTTTTGTAAAGCGAATGTTCCCAGCATTTATAAAGTGAGGACCCCTTTTTAGTACCCAAGTTGCATCACACCCGATCACATTCCCTCCTGCCTCCCAAAGAAGTTTTATTCAACTCTCAATTATCTGATATGAAGAGTAACCATGGTTAAAATTAAAATTATACTATATTGGTGAAAAGTTAGAATGACCATGAATCAGAAAACCACTTCTATATTAGAAAGTATCTATTATTTAGAACTGCATAATAACTAACAGACACTATAAACTGTCTTCTGCAGTGCAGGGAAACTCCTTCCATATTGCTAGTCATTGAGCACTCACTGCTGCCCCAGGAGCACACCAGCAAGAGAAACAAATGGGACTGTGATTCTTACATAAGCACAGTGACCATGTCTGTCCTACTCACTGTATCCCAAGCAACTAGCAAAATACTCTTTTCCTACCAACACTTTACTTAAAAATGCAACTCTCCTGACCTGCATACTTCCTATCCCTATTTTTTACTTTATTTTTCTCTATAAGACTTGTCACCTGACATATTCCAATTTCATTTATTTATTTATTTTATGTCTGTCTCTCTCATTAGCAGGTAATCTCTATGATGGCAGTGACTTCCGTACACTGCTGTATCCCCAGCGCCTAGAAGAGGACCTGTTGAATTAATTGAATGGGTTAATAATGGTTACAAACACCAGAAAATCCTGGCTTACTGATAAATCCTTTGATGCCCAAAGACTCTATTTCCATATAGACCAGTAAACGACTGTAAGTTTCCACTAGGGCTGGAGCCAAGGCCACACTGGACTTTGCATGAGCAAGTTTTATCACTCTGGTAGCAATGCTGTGGATAAGGCTGGGGAGAAACAAAAGGAAAGAAAATAAAAATCCATACTTTTGACATAAACACAGGGGTTACTCTACTTATAAGGAACTTGGTATAAATCTGAACTTAAATATATGAAATGAATCATATATTTCCATTTTAATCATTTAAGTTGTGCAGCACACACTTGGCAACCCGAGGCTAATTCTGGTTTCCATGGTGCTTTCAATGGGTATCAGGATCCCTCTGCTCACAGAAAAGCAGAATTTGGGTATAACTCATCTCACAGGAACATGCTTGAGATGGATTCAGTCGGTTTTCCTTTTTCAAATATATAACTAAAACCACTTGAGAAATTTAGCTTTTGTTACAGAATTACTTAATAAATCACTGCTAAGACCCAAATGTTAGGTTCTAACAGAGCTATCCTCGACTCTGTCACACATGCTTTTACTAAAGCACATGTATAATTTCACCACAGTGTTTACCATTTGAAACAGCATGGCTTTTCTAGAACTGAAGCCCTGCCTGGAGGCCCACAGGTGAATTCTTTGCCCTATAGAGTGTTTGAAGTTTGAGCCAATACTTAAGAGCTGAAAGACTAGAAATATAAATCTGAATTTCTAGCTCCTCTAGCCGTATTGGCCTGGCCTGCATTCTTGCATTACAGAAATGAGCTAAAGCGGCAGTACCATGAGGTGCGCCCTGCCCGCTCCAGTCAGCACCAGCCTCCTCCACACACACGCTTCCACGTTCACTAATATCTGGCTCTCCTTCACTCAGCCTTAGGCGTCACTCATTTTCATTATCAGATTGGTTCTCAGAGGCACCTGAGGTTCTAGAATTACACCCAACAGAACCTTTCTGTCTTCTAGAAACCATAACGGCAATTCTAAAAGTGTCCTTATTTGTAATCAATACAGTTAAGGCATTATAATTTTTGTATCGCTGGACTCAGCAATTCCACTTCCAGCACATTATTTAATGAGAATGTAACTATGGAGAGGTGCAGACAGCCATAAAGACAGTCTTCATAGCCCTCTTTATAAACTAAGACATTCTAAATAACCTCAATGTCCAACAACGTGGGCAAAATAATCATATATAGCCACACAAGGCTTCTTTGTAGCAATTGAAACAGATATTTTTGAAGAACATAGGCCTAAAAAGGTGTTTGATAGATTATTATGGGGAAAAAATGGTTTTAAAATAGTATTGCAGTAAGCCCATTTTGTTTAAAAAAAATCCATAAATTCATATATTTATACATATAATAAAAGACTCAATATACACAAAATTTTTTTACAATGCATATGTCTCATGAAGGGATTATAACATTTTCTTTGGGTTTATTTGTATATTCTAGAAATCCTATAATAACAATTATCATTTTGTAATAAAAAAACCTAATTATTTGTTGTCTGACAGCCAAGATTTCTAATAACATGCCCCCCTGCATTTAGCCTCTAACCCAATTAGCCAGAGAGAAAAGCCCCGGTATGACCGGAGGAGGCCGATAAGGCTCCCTCTGGGGAGTGTCTCAAGGTGCGACTGCCACCTGTTGGAATGCTAACAGTTAATCTCCTCTGGGAGGACACAGTAACAAGGTGTCCTGGGGCTATGCGGGGCGGATATGCGAAGGCATAGCATATGCTGGAACATAATGGATATGTTAATGGAAAGGCTTTGAGGCACAGACCTCAAACGGATGCTAATTTGATTGACAGAAGTTTTACTTCTTTGAAAATTCTCAATTAAAAGCCATGCGCTGACCTGATTCGGGGCTCAGTTTTCTCTGACTGAGTCCCTTGGTCTCGCTCTTAATCCTACTTCTGTCTCTGTCTCTTTATTCAATCTGCGCAGCCCCTCAAGAGAAACCCATTTGCCCTTGCCACGCTGGACGTGACAATTATTCTTAAAAACCTGACCATAAAACACACAAACATGATTATGAAAGCAAGTCTATACTATACTGATATCAATTCCATGACACAGGGCTGAATAAACAGAACATACCTCATTTTAGCATGAACTGTCAGTGAATCCAGGAGGTTCATTGGTAAGGGACTAATTGATCCTGAAGCCAAACAGCTCGTTCCAGGAAGAGGTATCCTCATAATTCCATTTCCATAAATAGTTTCTACCAGCGCTCCCATGGGTAACGTAAAGCATTCTGAATTTGTAGAGTATGCGTTACACAGCAGGGCAATCTTATAGTCATTCATCTGTAAACTTTTATTTCTAAGACTCTGCTGTAGAAACCTAAAATTTCAAGTCCCATTAATCAGAAAAAATGCAAATCATTTCCAGAAAATTAACCTACATTTTAAAAAAAGTTTAATATCATGCAACTCACAAAGTCATGAACTAGGTTCCTACTGATTTCTCTGCTTCATTACAGATGGCATGATGAAAAGATGGTTATGGTGCGTGTCACAAAATGAAAGCTAAATGACATGTGAAGTCTGACTATCCTACAGTCTCCTATGAAGAGACTTTTCATAAATTCTGAGTGGGAAGTTCGGCTATTCCTAACACCCTTGACTGAAGCCCAGATCTATCTAAAAAGGTCATCTCTGAGTACTCAGAGATTAGGGAATGCCGGCCACACACAGTAGCTTATGGCAGACCCACTGTAGCAGGGCCTGCAGCCTACGCCATCGCCGGTGACCCACAACAGCCCAGCTCTAGGTCCATCTGCTGCCCACCATCTCAGCTGCAGAGGGCGCAGCGTTACCGGCCCTCATGTGGGACCCGAACCAGGGCCCCCTGCTCAGAGCCAGCATCCCAAGCCAGCTCCCAACCAACGTGCCGTTCGGCCGGCCACCAAGAAATTTTTGAAACTTTTTCACATATGTTTGGAAATTAAGAATTTTAAGTTAACACTTGTAAAAGAAAAGTTTAGAAAAGAAAATCAAACAAATACATATCTAGATATGTATAAACAGGATTAGTTATTCTTCAATTGTTTTCTGAGGCAGTTATTGGTCAGTTTCTCTTGGTATGACATACACATTAGTCACCCTTACTTCCAGTGGGTATGGGGAGATTTTGATTCTTCACACTCAGAACAATATTAGTCTAAAATCCACTATTTATAAAATAAAAACATTAATAGTCAAGCTACAATTACTTACTCATGGTGAAGCTTTAGGGAATGAGGTATTGGAATCTGTAGCTTAGAGTTGTCATTTTGGGCTTTTCTATTAAGATGAATCCAAATGCAAGTCATTGCAAAGGCATGAGTTGATTGAGGTTTGTTAATATCAGGAACTGGGATATACTGGGAAATAATATTATCAGAAAGAGGAGAATTCATTATATATATTTTAGTAATCTATTTGTGATACAGCTCTTTTAAAAATATCTGTATTAATTTAGCCCCAATTGTCCTTTGGCTATTCAATAATACAAATCAGATGATCTAACAGCTATAAAATACTGAAACTATTACAAGATTGTTTTGACTTACCAAGAAATTAACAGAAAGTCATATGTGCTTTTCCTACTGCCACAGAGCATTCATAATCATTTAAAAATTTTTATTCCTTAATAATTAAGCACATCATTATGAAATCTTACTGAATGTGATAAATACATTAAAAGCAGATAATTTCTAAAAGTCACATATATACTTTTCAAGAACATAAAAATTAAGAATTTGCTTTAAAATTGTTTGGCATTAACAAAGAAGATGAGGAGGAAAGATAAAACAAGATTATTTCTTGGTAATTGGTACATGGGATTTTATTTTTCTATTTATTCTACTCTTTTTGGGCATTTAAAAATTTGGGCATTTAAATATCTAGGGAAATGCAAACCAAAATCACAATATCACCTCATACCTGTTAGAATGGCTATCATCAAAAAGGCAAGAAATAATAAGTGTTGGACAGAATATGGAGAAAAGGGAACCCTCGTGCACTGTTGGTGGGACTATAAACTGGTGCAGCCACTATGGAAAACAGTGTGGAGGTTCCTCAAAAAAATTAAAAATAGAGCTCCCATATGATCCAGCTATTACACTCTGGGTTTTTATCTGGAGAATACAAAAACACTAATTGAAAAAATATATGCACCGCTATGATCACTGAAGCATTATTTACAATAGCCAAGATAGGGAAACACCTAAGTGTTTCATCAATGGATGAATAGATAAAGATACACACACACACACACACACACACACACACACACACACACACACACAGGAATACTACTACTCAGCCGTAAAAAAGAATGAAATCTTGCCATCTGTGACAATGTAAATGAACTATGAGGGTATGATAAATTAAATAAGTCATAAGGAGAAAGACAAATACCATATAATTTTACTCATGTGTAATCTTAAAAAGAAGCAAACAACCCTCCCCCCAAACCAAACAAAATAAAACAAAAACAAGCTCATAGATACAGAGGACAGATCAGTAGTTACCAAAGGGGAAGGGGATTAGAGAGGTGGGTGAAAGGGGTGAAGGGGGTCAACTGTATGGTAATGGATAGAAACTAAACTTTGGGGTAGATCATCTAGTGTACACAGATGTTGAATTATAATACTGTACACACCTAAAGCTTATATAATTAAAAAAAATAATAATGGCCTGCTTCAAAACTGGAAAAAATAAATTTCCATAATGAAATGTTTCTAAGAAAGTGGCAATCATCAATATATACCATATTTTACTCAAACACCTTATATAATACAACACAGGGGGAAGACATACTCAATTAGCAAACAGCCAAAAAAAATATTAACAAACACTAACGTTATGTGGTAATTCAATATGTATACATAAAAACAGCATAATGCTTTTTAAAATTGTAAACCTACTTAGGAAGTAGAAAAAGAGTTTGTTATACTAAATGTTCAATTGTGATTTAAGATAAACTTCATAAATAATCTAGTTAATTTCTTCATTATACATATGAGTAAACTAATGTCAAGAGAGGCCTAACGTTCATCCCACGATTATGGTCAGTCACAGAATTGGGAAAAGAACTCAGGTTTCCAGCTTCCAAATCCAGTGCTCCTGTCACAAAATCACACTAAAATCCTTAAACATAAATTGGACATAATCCACTGATCACATTATTAACTATGTAGTAAAACTTACCTCTTTTTCTGGGTACAGAAGGTCGAAGAGCTTCATGACAGGGAGAAAATCAGCCAGTGCATTTTTCTGAATACTTCCAGAAATGAATTGCAGGAGAACCCACATTAGATGATCTCTGCCTTTGATCAGTCCTCGCCCTGCTAACTGTAAAAGATGTTTAAATACATATCCACACAGCCAAAGAGATAGATGTAGTAAAGTTTAAAGAAAAAAGAAAAAGAAAAAGAAACCTTGTTCTCAGAAAATTAGCATCTAACTTTGGCATTTAATAATTACTTTGTCTCAACTCAAGGTATACCAAGTAAAGCCTTTTAAATTAATATTATACCATAGTTCCCCATGTATAAGATGCACCCTTTTTTGAAAAATGTGGGGTCTAAAAACTGGGTGCGTCTTATGTAGTGGTTGTAGATTTTTTTACTTGCATTTCCCGCTTTTTTGCGCTTGTTGTCTTTGCGCTCATTGTTTCGCACTTGTTACCAGTATATTAGGTTATGTTTTGCCACGTTCTGCCCAGAAATGGCTCAGAAAAGATTTTCGTATTGGTGCTGAATTCAAGTAAAAAGTGATCCAGTTTGCAAAAGTGAATGGAAATCGTGCTGCTGAATATAAGTTTGGTCCTCCTCCAACTGAGAAAACAATCTGAGACTGGCTATGATTGAGAGTTTTGACAGTGATGAGGAGTTATATGAATTTTATGATGAATAAACTTGAGTTCAATAACTTTATGTAATACATTCTTTTTCAAATTGCAGACCCCAAAATTAAGGTGCGTCTTATACATGGGAGTGTCTTATACATGGGGAAATATGGTATATGTTTTCTCCCTCACCCCCCAAAAAACAACTATGCATATCAAACATTAAAGGTTTTAGGACATAATTAAGCTGGTCATGTGCATATGAGAATCAAATTTAATATGGGATAATTACTAAAAATATCTCATCAAAGGACAAGGAATACTTTATTATACCATTAAAAAAATGTTTTAAATCCTCAAGGTTTGGTTATCAAAAACACTTTTCCTGGTTTCCTGTAGATTATAACAGAAATCAGTGGTGGTGGTGTGGGGGGTAGGGCTTGGGGTAAGTAGTGGTTGAAAGAATTTCAACTCTTATGAAAAAATTTCCCCAAAATAATCCATGCTGTAGAGATATTATAAATATAACAATGCTTATTTCATTCCCATTCGATGTCTCTAAAGCCTTAGGACTACCATCAACTCTTCCCATGAATTTACTTTCCCACTATATTCTGTTTTGCATTCATTGTCCTATCTTTCCATTCACTGCCAAAGTAGAAACCAGTGAGTGATCCCAGACTCCTGTTACCTATCATCACCAGGTTCTATTCACCTCTCAGCATACCTGGGCTCTGGCTTCTCTGTGCCCTGGTTCAGGCCTTCAGCATTTCACACCCAGATCACTGCAATAGCTCCCTTACTAATTTCACTGCCTCTGATTTTGGCCCCATCCATCTCTTCATCACGGTTCCTATACATGGTCATTTAGCAGTAATTTTTTTCAACTTGTATTTGATAATATCATTTCCCTCCTCATTTACCTCTCAAAGAAAATCTAAACTCCTTAGACAAACACATGGCTATACGAAGCTCTCCAAGATCTCCAAGATCTTGCTGTCCTGCCTTCCTCCTCTCACCAACACTTTCCTCTTTACCTTTTCCTTTACAGTTCTCACATACTTCTATCCCTTTCCACACGATGATCTTATTGCCATGGAAACATTTTCCTATCTTTTTCCTCTTGGCAAATTTCTATTTGTCCAAGCTTCAAGATCTCTTTGATAAAGCCATTCCGATGTATTCTACTTTATTTCTACTGCAGGGAAACATGCTTTCATTATGAAGACTATTAAATTAAAATCAAATTGTTTATATCTACAATATATCTTTCCACTAGTAAGGCACTCCATGAGGGTACTACAGTGCCTTTTCATCTTGTATCTCCTGGTCCCCGCACTGTGAATATGTACAATGAATAACTGAACCTAGTTTTGATAATGACAAGAAAGTCAAAAGTTAAGAAACCATAAAACCACTGAACAAAATAGAAATTAGGGCTCAGAACATCTGCCACCTGCTGAAATCACCAGGTGATGTCTATACCAGCCTAAAACGTACCGATCAAAAGCTGAAGTGGCTCTAACCAAAGATTCAGTGCCTACCTTCTGATGAAGAGAAAGGACCATATGTGGAAAACTTGCAAACTGGAAAAGCACAAAGAAAATGAGCTGACTTGAGAGATGCTGCCACAGGAGTTGGCTTGTTCCGCCATCATCAAACTTCTCCTCAGTCTCAGATCGCTCCATGGCATAGACCACCAGGTCCACCAGCTGGTCCTCCAGCACAGGGCAGCGCTGCTTGTGCTGTAGGGCAGAGATTAAATACAGTATTCCAAAAGCCTCCTGGTTAGTCTCATAAGTTACCAGTTAACGGGCATTATTTGTAACAAGAGGCCGAGAAGCATGAAATGAAGTTGAACTTAGAAAGTTAAGGTTAGATTTAGTCTATTAAAGCTGCATCATGCTACATTATCGTAGAGGATGAGTTTCATAAAAACAATATTTTTCAGGCCGCACACAGGACAGATGTCCCATTAACTTTTGACTTTCACTACAGACATCATTGTTTCAATTTGACAAAGGGCACCACATAGTATAAATTTTGTTATTTATCCTTTGAAATGATAATTTAAAAGGTGTATGAAATGGGGACAGTATTAATTTTGCAATCCAACTCAAAATATGAAAACCCTGTATTTCCAGGAATCAAATATTGGCAGGACAGCAAAGAATGCAGTGTGTGAATCTATTTATTTTAAAGTAATCATGCAAGTTTACTCTAACTTTATATAAAAAGGTATACCTAAATAGCTGCCAGATGGCTCAATATCTGTTTTTCAATGTGTGGTATTGGTCCTGATACTGAAATGAAAACTTCCTCTACAAAAATAAACAAACAAATAAATAAATAAGATCTCAATGTTAATCTCTGCTCTTCTCTCTTAGAAGCCAAGCATAATGCAGCTTTAATTTTTAAATTAGACTATTTAAAAATCTAAAACAAGAAAAAGAACTGAGTTTAAACACTAAAAATGAAAATGCAACTTCCCTTTCTAGAGGCAAAAAGATTTATGCTTTTTAAAGAGATTTAAAAATACATACTTTTACCAAAAGATATATGTTAAGCCATATTTTAAGCCATTTTCATATTTACTTTATAAAATATGTTATATGGCTTAGCAGCCAGGCAATTAGATGCCTTTCTAGTGAATACAATTACTAATACAGATGCTTTCCCTCTAAACTTTAGATGTTATTTTTTTTCTTTTGCCATGAAAAAGGGATATGATTTCTTTAAATTTAGGGGGAAAATGCAAAATGGGGACGAATTTGGAAAAAAACAAAACATAATGAATAGCATCCCCTCTTCTGCATGCTCTTTGCCAGCTCCAAACTTGTAAAGCTCCAATATTGCTGCACTTTCTTCAAGCATGCAAATAAAACAAACATCTATCCAAAACAGTAAGCATCAATGGTTGTTTCATATTTTTTTCCAAAAACACAAGGCCATGATCACAGTTCAACCACATTACAGGTTACAAATAGCAATATTAACACCACCAGTTGAGACTATAGTACTTTTCCTCCAAATGTCATTATCATTATGAAGCAGAGCAAAGTGCAACAGACAACACTACAAACTATTTTCTTAAATCGGCATGCAAAACTACTGTGTACAGGGCTTGAAATTCACTAGTTCTGCCAACCACCAACAACCTAAGAAATGTGTCAGACAACACAAATTTAGAGTGAGATCATTCAAAGTATACAAGAGGCAGAAAAATTTGTGAAAAGAAGTAAAGCCAGGATTTCCAGTAGGAATTTTTCATTAGTGATGGATTTTGCTTCAAGTTTGGAAACTAACCAATTTGTCATCTATTCCTCCATCCATGATGGTCTTTCATCTATCTGCTTCAGGAAAAAAGAGCAAACTAAATAAAATTGTTTTTTAGCATCTGAGTCATTCTGGAGTTACCCTTTTGAATATTAGCTATTTGTTTTTTAAAAAAAAACTGGATTTTTACCTACATATTTTTAGGGGTGTAGTGATGGTCACACAGTTAATGACTTAAGAAGGAAATCCCAAAATATTAAGATTTTGATAAAGGAGGACATTTTGACAAAGAAAATTTACAGTTAAAGCTGATGATTTTTCATACATATCACAACTCAAGATGACACCCATTTTCTAAGAATTAAATCAGTCAGGACTCTCTATGGTGCCTAATGCCCTGGTATCTGAGGGTGGCAGAACATTTATCAGGATTAACTCTGTAATTCCCAGGTGTTTTGGTTAAAGCCAAGGATAGTTCTCAAACCAAGTTTAAGGACAGCTTAAACATGTTTATTTGCCAATTTTAATAATGCCAGCAAAGAAAATGATCTGTGATACCACTTCAGAATAGTAAGTTTTGCTTTTGTCAATAACTAAAAGTTAAGTATATTAAAAGTATGACTCTCCACCACATAGATTATTTTACAAAGTGGAATAAAAATTTGCAACGCAATTAAATGATCTGTGAATGAAGGTTAAGTATCAGTCACCAGGCTATGATAATTCCGTAAGCCAATGGATACTATGTCTATGGCTACTCACAACTTGCTTTCTGAAAGTTTTTACAAATATAAGTCTTCAAGATATAAGCATATAAGTTGAATTAGTTTACATCATATCTATATGCATATTTAGTTGAAACTTCTTTTAACAGTAAGAATCTAAATTCAATAGTTTAACAATTCAATTTCTGCATAATAGCGCAAATCGTATTGGAAACTGATTTAAAATTTTCAGCTTTGGTAAATGCTGAAAGTCAGGCACAAGATATCAAGAGAAACATTAACATTAACCTCCACCCAAGCCCCGATTCTTTCCCACCATGGTTTCAAACGACAAATGATAATAATCTTTTCCAGGCTTAGTAACTACTCGTATACTAGGTGGCCCCTGACACTTTTCATATGACAGTTCGGCTACTCCTTTGTGATGAAATGTTAACATAGTGTCCTTAAGTGGGCTTAAGTTAATTTTAAATCATTATGTCAGTGCTAGAAATCAATTTTAAAGCAATACCTATTCAGGACAAGTTGGGAAAAAATATCCCTTTGTATGTCATTCATCATATTCTCTGCCAATCAGAGCTGAAGCACTATGCCAGTCAGTTAATACCACTTTCAGTGGTGCCTTTCAAAGGTAAGTGGTTAGTTCAGCACTTCACTGTCTCAAGGTAGCTAAAGTTCATACACCACCTGTTTTGTAGTGCTATTATTCAGTAGAAAGAACGCAAACTCTTGTTTCAACACACAAAACAGGATTCTTCCACTGTGAACACTCCACCTTGCTGGTCGCGCAACTGGGCTATTTAAGATCTTCTGAATGCGACTGATTTTTAAGACAAAATATAGCCCTATTCCTACTGGAAAATGCAAGATGGACAGCTCTTAAAAGGTTTCAAGCTTTAAGTAAGTTACTGCATTGCTAGAGAAAGGACAAGAAAGTATAGTGCAGGATACAGTTCTGTAATGATAAAAGATGTGATAAGGTAACATTGTTTATTTTTAATCATATGCTTCTTATATTGTGTGTTCTCATTTTTCTGCTCTACTTTCCAGGTGGTAAAAATACTATATCAAGTCAATTCAGCATATATTTTCCATCTATACAAGTCCACTCACTACAGAGTTTTCTACTAAAACAATTACCGATGAGTTGTGAATTTTTGACAATGTTTACACTCCAGTGGGACCAATACTAATAATGTTCTGTCAGCATTTCCATTATAAACTTTATTTTTTATGGATTTATGTCTTAGTCATAAACTTCTGTTAGGTTGAAACTTATTATTAAAATGATCAGATCAGAGATACTCTTTTCCGAATTGTTTTTTAGAATCAATTTCTAGTTTGAGAAGAGCTGCCCCCAAAAGAAAAAGGCTAATAAATAATAGGTAAGGATATCTGGGGGAAGGTGCTCGCAGCTCAAATGACCATGGGTACATTTATCCACCAAATTATAAAAAAACTGAGTCAAGTATGACTTAAAAGTTCATTGCAAAAATTAGTTTTAAGACACAGCATGAAGCATTCTTTCAAAGTTAACTGAATACTTACCTCTAACTCAAGTGAAAGTTGATCAGAATTAATGACGTGGTATTTAAGATGCTAAGTTGATAGATTATATGAGATAACTGTCAGATACTGTGGTGTGAAGCAGTTTAGGTGTCACATGTACAAAGGCTTGTCCAAACAAGGAAACTTGGAAAATTTTTCAGAAGAAAAAACTTAAAATAATAAAAGAGATACTGCTACCAGGGTGAGGTTTGGCATGCAAAGTTTCAACACTGAGCAAGTTTTATGGCCAAGCTATATGTCCTTAAAAATAGGGCTTTATCAATGGAAGCACTGGCACAACCTTCACTATAGTATTGCAAACAGTCACGCTATTTTATATAACCTAGACAAGAACGTCTTTTTAAAATCAAAAAGCTGGTTTATTTTAATATGTTGGGCTCAAAAATTTTTAACAAAAATAATTGGAACCGTTATTTTGCTTAAAATCTCAAAGGTGAAAAGTCCTGGAACAGACTTGGGACTGTATAAGAGTTTGGTTTATCAAGTTTGGCCAGTGTTTTTCTCGCACCATAGGTGAGCTACAACTGAGAGGAGCTCACTCCAGGAGGAGGACACTTCTGGCAAAGACTGACAAAGAAGGGTGTTTGTCAAGCAGGTGTGGGGTCACCTAAGAGTGTGACATTTCTTAGTCAATCCCCATGTTTCCAAAAAAAACTTCCCTGTATAAGATTTACCACTCCAACTTTTGAAAGTAATATACCTCTATTAAAGTGCTTTTTTCTATTCCTCCTTTTGTTTTAAATTTGTTTTCTTTTTTTAGGCAAAGCAACATAAGTATTTTTATTGAGGTTTTTATTTATTTATGTTTTAAAAGTCTGGAAAGATAAAGGCCACCACAAATCTTTCCATCTCTCAAAATTCTACCAGGCTAGCTTTAGTGTAAAATATGAAAAAGAGTAAAATGGAGTGGAAAGGAAAAACAACCTATCAAAAAGTGACAGGCTTTATTGTGTGCCAGGTGTTGTCTCTTTGTTAAAAAAAAAAAAAAAAAAAATTAAAAAGAAAAAAGAAAAAAAGCAACAAACACCAAAAACCAAAACCAAAAAACAATCCACCAAAAACAACTCTCATATCCCAAGAAGAAATTCATTTTAGTGGCCTTGGTCTCAGCATGGTCCTGCCAATTTCAAGCCCCGACCATACATGTATTCTCTAGATGGAATCAGTGGCTACAAAGCGGCCAGCGTATCGTTAGTCACAATACAACAGTAAGGTTGTGAACATACCTGAGCAATGTTCAAGGTCTAGAGCATTGGAGGATGGGCAGGACAAGACAGGACAGAACAAAAATAAAGGAAGAAAAAAAGAAAAGACAAAACAGTGACTATGAGGCCAGCCTCAAGGAACCCAGAGTCAGCACAAACCCTCCCACATGTTAAACCACCAAAAACAAACAAATATGCACCAAAAAAAAAAAAAAAACAGCAATGAGGCTGCGCTGAAGATTCCAAGGGTTATAAAAAAGAACACCCAAACAACAAAAAGTCAAAAATTATGGTTAAGTCATGTGTAGGTTTCTCTGGCAAAAGGTGTACTTGAAACTGGCCTTATAGAAAAAAAAGCAATGCAAAATAAACCAACTTTTAAAATATCTCCTTTTTAATTTAAACATTCTTAAAGCAATATATAAATGATAGGAATAATACATTGTTTAATAAACCATATATTTTTTTAAAATCACCAGATAGTTTTTAACTGTTTTGCTCAGTTAGCTATAGCAAAGAAAAGAGAAAAGAATAGTGCAGATTCTATGCAGAATTTACTAGGTTTCCAGCATAGTACAGTACCTGCTTATTTAAACCTAGCATATTGCAGACCATATCCCTGGAATAAGGCTGTTCCAATACATATCTCAACAAAGCAGTCTGTGGTTCAAACAGATCCTTTAAAGAAAATAAAAAAAAATTATTGCTTCAAATCAAAGTAAATGTTAATTCAAATAATTTGAAATTGGGATCAAAAAATCCTCTAAAGGCACTTGTTACCTTCACACAGTAGGCAGTATCTAGTGAGAAAAAAATCATAGGATTTTAGTGCTTGCAGTTAATCTGTTCCCACCCCTCACTTGTTAAGTGATAACTGAAGCAAGGGACTTGCCCAAAGGCGTACAGAGGATAAACTTAGAAATGACTTCAGCTAGTCACAGGAAAGTCTTAAGCATCAATGTAAGGAAAGGATTTTCTGCTCAGAAATCTAATCAAACTGGAATGGAGGCAGTTTCCAATCACTCCCATACAAGTGTAAACAAACACTATTTCCAAATTTGGAGATGACAAATGACTAGACAGCACAGGGGTTAAGAGTATAGATTCTGGACTCATATGGTCTGAGCTCAATGATTCTACCACTTCCTAAACATGGGGCCTTAGTCAAGTTACTACCCACTCTGTGTCTCAGTTTCATCATCGGTATAATGGAGATAATAAGAAGACAGTTAAGAATATGGTTTTGCAAAGTAAAGTTTTCAGAACACTGCCTGGCACACAGTAAGTGCACAATAAATTTATGTTTTTATTATTATTGCTATCATGATGATTTTATTTAGTTTACCACTTTTTCACATTCCAAAGTTTTGCTGACTAATATGCCAAGAGCCCAGATTGTCACCTTACTTCCACTATTTCACCCTTCTCTCTTTTAGACAAGTTTCCTAACCACCCTGTATATCACTTTTGACATGAAACACATGAAAAATATCTAGGCCTCCTGATACCCTGTTCTGTCATCACTCCCACCTCCAAGGTAATATAATGATCTATTAAATTTCATTATAGCTTTATGTCTATATCTGATGTTTCATTTTATTGATATTTGTGGGTATTTTTTCCTTTGAGAATTTTCTACTCCTCTTTTGTTGTGTCTCCCCATCCTCCTTTTTAAAAAATCTAATAGGCTCACTTCAAATTGTAAGGACACTGCAAATTCATGTTCCATCTCCCTTTGCAAAGGAAGAATGAAAACAAGAAATGAATTTAAAATTCAGCTTGCTAATTCCAAGTGCTTTTCCAGAGGTGGACCACTACAGTATAAACACCTGCAATATCGCAAACTCCAGGGTGCACGTGGATATTGGAATCACATTTTAAACCATAAACTATCTTTCATTAAATATTTATAAATAAAAAAATATTTACTTCTTCAGTCTCTGAAAAGACAAGTTAGCATCACAAATCATATAATCAAGGATGGAGAGTGTTAGACCAAAAGTTCCATTATAATATTTAGCAACATACCTTATCATATGGCAAAAGGCCTTTCAAAGGAAAACGAAGAGTTGCAGGATCCAATTTCCATGAATTACAAATGGCACCCGAGTTATTTACAACTGGCAGAAGGCTGCAGCGGCCTGCATGTAATATAAAAAATGTTTTTTAAGTAACGTGAACACAGCAATGCTTGGTCCTCCATTCATTCCCTCTAGAAATATTTAATGGATATCTATTTTGAACCAGGCCCTGGTTTTAAAAATTTTTTAATTAGGTAGAAGTTCGTGAATTATCTTTGATTATTTTTAGTCCTGATGGTTGGAGACCAATTTGTATAGGCCTTCCAAACTCAAAAATGTTGCATTTGTCCAAGTATCTAGGACAGAGGTCAGCGGACTATAATCCATGGGCCAAATCCAGTTTGTCACCTCTTTTTATAAAGCCGCATTGGATCACTGATGCTTGTGCACTTCAATGGCACAGTTGAGCAGCTACAACAGATTGCATAGCCCACAAAACCTAAAATATTTATTATATCACCATTTAAAGAAAAAGTTTGAGACCTCTCAAGTCTAGGGTCAACACAATTAATTTTAAGCATGATGTTTCCAGAGGCCTTAGATGGAGCTCATGACTACTGGCTCATATATCCAACCGCCTGATGAATATTGCTACTTGGATGTCCCATGAATTAGCATTCTAGCTCAACATGTCTTAAATTAACTCATCATCATCCTTCTCAAACCTACACCGCTTCCATAATTTGTTGACAGCAATATCCACTCTGTCACAAAAGCTAGAGACCTAGGAATTATCTATCTAGAGTTTGTTTAGTTTAGTTTTGTATTTCAGTGTCTAGAATGGCACCTGACTCATAAGAAGTGCTCAAAATTTGGTCATTGACTAAATAATGATCTATATTCCCAGACAGTTCTGAAGTCACCATGATTTCTAGAAATAATCCAGGAGTATATATGGGCACTGCAAAAATTGCCAAATCACATGCTTATTTTTTAAAAAAAATCTGAGAGCCAGCCTAATGAAACATGAAAAAATGGAAAACAAAGTAAATTAAGTAGAGAGCACAGGTGTGACTTGGAAAGGGCTGAAAGAGCCTGACAGTCTTGTTTGTGTGCTGTGACCTCAGAGGGACAGGTCTGTTGAGATTTCCAGTTGCTTAGAGATTCCATGATGCTTTACTGGCTCTATTCAAAGTTCCCTCTGATCACCAGGAAATGTATCTTCTGGAATGGCTCTACCTGAAGCTTAGACCTGATCCAGGCAGTTGCTTTTCCCTCCCGACATTCAGCACACAAAGCACCTGAAAATCAGTAAAAGGCTCCTATTGTTAAGCTCCTAGAGAGTTACTAAAGTGACAAGCGACCAAGACATGTAAGATGCCATCCGATAACTTTAATAGTCAAATTATTAAAAATCACCTACTATTTAGTATATTTTAAATTAGAATCCTACCACAAATGGAGTTTATCCTTGCTGTGGGCCTGAAGGTATCCACAAAGTCTGATACCAGGTTTCCAAGTAACTAAAAACAAAACAAAACAAAAAATAAACAAGTAAAATCAAGGTTTCTCTGAATATAGTGATCATTTAGATAAAATGAGATACTATGTAAAGATTTAGTACAATGCCTGGCCCTTTAAAATTACTCAAAGGTTTGGTCTCTTTTACTTCCTTCCAAACAGTTACTGACCAGCTCATCTGTCCCTGAAACAAGCCAAGTCATGACGCCATGTCCTTAGCTATTTGGTGAAGCTATGTATATTTTATCACATGGTATATAAATTATCTCAACAGAAGAGCAGAGAAATGAAAGAAAGGAATACATCATAATGATAAAAAATACATATATATTATCTAAGGATAAAAGTGACCATTTAAAAAAATAACCACACAAAAAATAAGATTATACCACCTCACTCCAGTCAGAATGGCTATCAATAAATCAACAAACAAGTGCTGGCAAGGCTGTGAAGAAAAGGGAACCCTGGTGCACTGTTGGTGGGACCACAGATTGATGCAGCCATTATGGAAATCAGTATGAGGGTATCTCAAAAAACTGGAAATGGAACTACGTATGACTCAGCAATTCCACTCTTAGGTATCTATCCAGAGAAACCCAATACGTTAATTTGAAAAAATATATGCACCCCTATGTTCATTGCAGCTCTTTTTACAATAGCCAAGACTTGGAAACAACTGAAATGCCCATCGGTAGATGACTGGATTAAGAAACTGTGGTACATTAATACAATGGAGTATTACTCTGCTATAAAGAATGAAATCCTACCATTTGCAACGATATGGACGGACCTAGAGAACACTATGTTAAGTAAAACAAGTCAGTCGGAGAAAGACAAATACCATATGATCTCACTTATATGTGGAATCTAAAGAACTGAATAAACGAACAAAGTAAACAGAAATGGTCTGAGAGACACAGAGGAAAATCCGACGGTTGCTAGATGGGAGGGGGCGGGATGAGGGGGAAGGGATTAGACAGCATAAATAGGTAACTACAATACTGCCACAGGGATGTGAAAGAGAGTTCGGGGAATATAATGAATAATGTTGTAAATATTTTGCAAGGTGTCACATGGTCACATGTCTTATTAGGGAGACCACTTCATGGATGGGGTAGAGGCTTATCACTGCACTATACACCTGAAGCTGATGTTCTATAATATTGTATGTCAACTATAATTGAATATATATAGTCACGGGATGTGGAGTATAGTGTGGGGAGTGGAGTCAATGGAATTGTAATAGATATGTATGATATGGGGGGGGAGTGGGGCAGCAGATGGGGGGAGGGGGGTTCTCACTTTGTGAGGGCTGAAAAGGATAACTATTGCATTGTTTTGTATACCTGACACTAAAAAAAAAAAAAAAGAAAAAAAAAAGAAATAGATTTAAAAAAATAATAATAAGATTAGCAGAAATACTAAAAATTTTGGAAAATATCAAATTTACCCAGTGTGGAAGTTTTCCCTCAGGATATAGTTTCCTGATCTCTGTGACTGCAAAATAGGCTGGTAATAAACAGGCATTTCTTTCCAAGATATATCCTATAACCTGGGAAAAATAAAAGGGTAATGTTGTTGTTCTTCACTAGTCCCACAGATGAGCCCTTTAAAGGCAACAACAGGATATTAAAAAGTAGAAATATTATTTCATTAATGTACTGGGCTTAAACCTTACCATAAAGGAATTCACTTATATGTGAAGAATCTCTAAAAAACAAAGATTACAACAAAATGGATTGCTGATGGTTAGTAAATAACATTGACAATGCTTTAAATATTGGTAGACTCCAACAGCAGAGCAACAGACCAAAGTAAAAAATCTTGCAAATTAGTTATATAGTACAAAGATCTTTTAGATCTTTTAAGCGGTCCATAGGATATCTTGTAATGGGTGGAAATATTACTTTAATATCTATATTGTTGTTTTCATAATTAAAAAACATAAATTAATGAAAATTTCCTTCTGAAATATAATAAAAGTGAAACAGCATCTTTAAAACTAAAAGTGATTTTTGTAGAAGTAAACAAATGAAATATTCCACAAATTACCATGGCGTTTAAAAGCACAGAATTATATAAAACTAGACTTTCCTGAGGTTATGATAAAGGAACTGCAGACATGTATATGTTACCTCTCTTGCTGCTAGAAGCTGCTGTACAACAGCTGAGCTCACTGTATTGGGAATTGTCAAGATTTTCTCCAAAATCACTTTTAAGAGATCGCGAACACCCTGATATAAGAAAAAAAGTCATAGGTTAAAACTAAGTAATGTCCCCTGTGCTAGTTAAACTTCTACAGGTTTCAAGATTATACATTCAGAAAAAAATGTTACCCTCAAATGTTACCTTCAATTTTTCTGAATCAGAGCTAATATTCAAGTCCCTAACATTAACCTAAGAGTCATGCTCTAAAACAGAATTCTAAAAAAAGTCTGGTAGTATGAACGAACAAAGAAAGTCACTTATCAATAAAAATTAACCTTTCCACATTCTGCTAAACTTTTTTGACCTTCACAACATTAGAAAAGTTTCTACTGTAACAAGAATCCAAAAAAGCTTAATGTGGGCTTATAGATGGAAATACAGTTGTTAAATAGAACTTGAAAATACTCTGAAAACATGGGCAATAATAATAAACTTTCTGGCAGATGACCGTTTCTGCTCATTCCTTTCTAATTTTGTTCTCCATTCTCATCCATAACCTTTAATCCTTCAAATTTATTCAATATACCTTAATCCCTCAAACTTATCCAACAAGGCTATTCTGTTAATCATTCATTTCCTCATTATCTATTATTACAAGTTGCATTATTTCAAAGCAGAATCTGCTATAGAGAAGAAATTTCGTTCAACCATTCACTTATTGAGTATAAACTATGGGATCAATCTTGTAAAAAAAAAAAAAGATGGACAAAACATATACATGGAAGAAATCAGAAAAACTAGAAAAATAAAGCACCGTACAAACAAGAAGGTAAAAACTGCATATTAACCTGCTAAAGAAACTGAAGTTCAAGTAAAGAGAAAATAATCAGAAAAGGCTTCTTAGAATTAATTTTGTATTAAGTCATGATTCAAATAAATAATTAGTAAGTCATTTTAGATTGGAGAAAATACAGACATAAGCATAGGACCAGGTACTGGCAATTCTTTCAAAAAGGACAATACCATAGTGGCTTCAACAAAGCAGAATGGCTTTTGCAGCTATGGAAATACTGAGCTGCATTATGACACACGATTAAGAGTGTATATGCAGTTGTTTTTGGTCAAGAGCAGAGTGCTAAAGATACTAGCTACGGAAGGCCATGTGTCCCGGGAAGGTCAAGGTGGAGGTGATACACCACTTGCTCCTCTCAGCAGTGAATGCCTACATCCTCTCTCAGGTCCACGCATCTCTCCTCTGTGCTCTTTTATTTGAAAGGGACCCAACATCGTAAGATCGCATCTTCAGATCTGTGGCATGAAGAAACCCAAAGTTGGCTTGGTGACTTCCCTACTCATCGTAAAAACATATTAGCCGACTGCATGTTTAAGAATGCTGTGAGGGGAGCAGAGGAGCTGCGGGACACACTGAATGATGTTAAACCCCTTTGGGAAATACAACAAAAAAAACAGATTTTGTAAATGCTTTCGCTTCATTCCTCCCATCTGAAATGAAGAAAAATACAAATGAGAAAGAAATTAATCATGCCCGAAAGTGATTACTTTTTAATAATTAGGAAAAAAAATACCTTGTAATCCACTCCCCCAATTATTTTCCGAACCAGTTGAAATGTTAAGGCCCAAAGCTGTGTTCTTTCCCATTCAAGAGTGTCAGAGTTTATCAGGGATTCACAAACCATCCTAGAAAAAAGGAATACCCATTCCAGTTACTAGACAGAATTTTGCGAGTTTTCTAATCATCAATGTGTGTGTACTCTGGATATTATATTTGTCGTACTAAGCATTTTTCATAAAGGTACGTTATTACTCAAGTACACTTTTAAAAATTTAGGAATAGTATTGGGTTGTTGGAAAAGTCATGACGTATTTTTTCTATGTTTTCCGTTGCAAAAATGCATCATGACTTTTCTGACAACCCAATATTTTGCATATTTTATTTGTATGAAAGAATAAACAAAGTAGAACTAAATGATATTCATAATATTTTTACTAGCAAGAAATCTATCAAAAGATAGATGGTTAAATGTTTACCATCTATCAGCTTGTGGCAGATTGTATTTTCCCAAGATGGCTGCAATAAGATTTTCAATCCTCAGGCTTTTTTGAAATGTGACGCTGATATTCCTCACGTGAAGAGGTGGGAAGAGAGTCTACATTCTCTTTCCTTAAATCTGGACAGGCCTAAGACTATGGCAAAAGGGACAGTGTGTGACTTCCGAGGCAAAGTGATACAGCTTCTGCCTAGATGTGTTTTCAATATTTGCTCTTGGACTCCACCATGCTGAGAAAGTCCAGGTCACATGGAGAGGGCACATGCAGGTTCCAGCCAATAGCCCAAGGGAGGTCCAGTGATAGCCAGGCATCAACCACCAGACATATGAATGGGGAAGCCTTTGTCATGACTTCAGTCCTAGCCACCATCTGACTGCAATCACGAACCCTCAGAAAAAACTGTCTACTAAGCCCAGTCAACCACCATAGCCACAGGTGTCCATAAAATGATTATTATTGTTCTAAGCTGTACCATTTTGAGGCAATTCATAGCAAAAGTTAACTGGAAAACAGCTCATCAAGGTGAGTGATGTTAGCCCCTGGGCTGAAAGGGAAAGCCTGCCTGTTTTTGAGCCTTTAAATATATAATTCTAAGAATATAAGAAACTAAAACCTGAGGTATTATGAAGTATTGCTTGTTGAGCCTAATGTCCTTTACCATTTCCTTGTCCTTTTACAACAACCTCAACCAATTTCCAAATATTAGTAAAAAAGAAAATTCTCCGATTGCTGATACCCATCATTAAACATACCTGGGTGGAAGGAGACCAGTCTCGACTGCCATTGCTAAACAGTCATAAAGAAAAGAAATTCTTTTAGGACTATGTTGGCCATGAATGAATTTAACAATCCACTGGATGCACTGTTCATGAGATTCCTGGAAAATTAGAAAATGATTATATTTTAGGTCTAAAGTTATATTTTGTAATTAATATAGCTAATGCTACACCTGGGTGTATACGAAGACTATGAATGAGATACTCCACTATAAACATTCACGGATGGAGACAATTTAAAAAAAAAAAAAGGAAAAAAATTCAGATTCAGTATTTCAGTTATATTAAACTTAAAATCTTACCATTATAAAGATTAAACTCCCATCATTTTTATTATTTTATTTGGGACCTCCAAAAGGAGTAAGATTTTATTAACATGATCAATAGAAAAACTCTAACACAGATTATGTAAGGCATTGTAAGCAGTGACCTTAACGGCAGATATAAATATTTCTGTCACGGGGGAAAAAAATCCATTATGGGTTAGTACATCAGTCTCATGAGAATTTAGTGGGAATCTAATCCTTATGAGCTCAATCAATCATGAATTCAGCGACATAGCAAATTTCTAGGCTTCTATGACTTTAAATCTGATATGAAATGTAGTGCTCATATCAAAGTCTGTCTTCTAGGACATCCTCAAAAGAGCCTGTGTCCTGTTCCTCTTCATTCCCACTGTCCCTAATATATACTTCTATGGTTGATCATATAATGCTGATTTACAAATATTACCTTCTTTCAGGCTCCCTCATTAGAATATAATATTCTTGGAGATAAGGGCCATACCTTCACTCATAAAATGTTTAAAAAATCATTAAAAATTTTAAATATTTTGGAAAGATGGTCAACATTACTCAGAGAAATGTAAAATAAAATTACACTGAGATAAAATTTCTCATGTTTTAGATTGGCAAAGATCAAAAAGCTCATGAACACTCTATTGTGAGGCTATAGGAAATATACACTCTTATATATTGCTAATGGGAGTATAAATTGGTGACTCTTATGGAAAGCTACTAGGCAATTTCTATAAAAATTACAAATAGACATACCTTCTGACTCAGCAATACTACTTCCAGGAATTTATTCTGTGTCCCATGTATAACATTATTCATTTTGCATTGTTTTAAGGTGGAAAAGATAAGAAGCAACCTAAATGTCAGTCAGTAGGGGACTGGTTAAAAAAAAGGAAGGTACAGCCATAAAATAAATAAATATTATGCTGGAAGCAAGGAAGGAAGGCAGAAATTTGAACTTTTAGTGGAATGCTGTAGAATGACTTTCAGAATTTATTAATAAGGGTGAAAAAAGCAAGGTGCTAATGAACAGTGTACATAATATATGATCATTTTATAAAAATGATTGTATATGCATAAAATACTTCTAGAAGGAAATACAAACTGAGAATCCTGGCTACAGACAGGAAAAAGAACAGGTAATTAAGCTGAGAGACGAAAGAGACTATTAATTGGGTCCACCTTTTTGTACCTTTTGCATTTGGAACCACATGAATATATTACCTATTAAAACTCTTTAAAAAAAGAATGTTTTGTTGCTATATGATCCATGTCTGAGTGGCAAGTCTTACCACCAGGGGATCAACTGCAAACATTTTCCTGCCTATAATGAACCATAAGAAGATAATGAAGTCTTTAAGGATCACACATTTTGTCTTTTTCAGGGATACCTTTTCTGGTGACTGTTCTTTGTAATTAAATTTTACTGCTCCTTTCCTCATTTTTATTATAATATCTTTATGTCCTTATTATAAAATTGTATCCTTATTGTGGTATTTCTGTATCTTTCCTGTAGTATCTCTATATCAATACTATGCCAGTTCCTTTGTTGAGAAAATGAAAATTTATCCTTTATAATCCCTAATACAGCTGTTTTCACGTACACCAAATAAATGAGAATAGGATAAAAGTGGTTTTATGTAATCTAACATGGAGAGATTTTCAAAAACATCTCACACTGTGCTGTCATCAACTTCAATTCTCAATACAGGTTCCCCACTGGAAGACAAACTGAAACAAATGGAAACCAAAATAGGCAACTAAAACATGATGACAATTTTATCTCTCCCTTTCCAGAAAGATCTCAACAGCAACATCAAAGTAAATGTAAAAAAAAGAAGGGGTCAAAAGTTAACAGTGAAATGTATTAAAAATGCAGTACTCACCTGGGAAAGACCACCCCAAAACTGTCTGAAAGCCCCCAAACAGCTAATTAGTTTTGTTTTTTCATCTTCAGGGGTGTCCATAAACATGCTAGAAACAAAAATCACATTATTTGCCACTAGTTTTTAAAAGGTAATTCAACATAACTAGAACTGTGGATCTTATAAATCTCCAAGAAAAAACTGAGTAAAATGTTAACAAAGACACACCCGTGTAAGAACACAAAAATCTGCCATGCAGATACTCACCCAGGGAAAGCCTCTTCTATAATTTCCGTTTTCTGCAAAAAAAAAAAAAAAAAAAAAAAACAAAATGTGAATTAAAAAAAAAAAAAAGAGGGCCCTCCCTGAGTAAAATATTACAATGTAACACTGGGCAAGTCACCTTAGTCACCTACACGCAGAAACTAACAATGCCTGCCAGGCCTGTCACAACGGGTATTGTGGATTTCAAGGAAGCTTTGAATTTGACAGCAGTTTGAGAATCGCTAAACCTTTGCGCGCACACACAGTGTCACCACAAAGGACAGGTGGGGGAGAAGCTGTCCGAGCCGGGTTCCTTAATCTGCTGCCCCCAAACCTCCCCCTCGCCCGGCCGTAGTCCTGAATCCCTGGCCCTTTCACTCACCACCACCTCCTCAAAAATGCTCTGCAGTTGCGTCTCCATCTGTACCATCGCCTCCGCCTTCCTTGGGCGCCCGGCGCGCTGCCTGGGAGCAGGCCCAAGCTCCGGGAATAGACCGGCAGAGGGGCGGAGACGCCCTCAGGAAACCACAGGTCGAACGAGTCGCTTTCCACCCCAAGTGCTCAACTGAGTCCCCTCCAAGATCCAGCAAACAACCGAGGCCTGCACGGAAGCACCGGGAAGCTCCTGGTGCTTTCCGATTACCAAACCCCCGGAAACGAGGGACCGAGCCACATGGTTCCGCGAGTCAAAAGAGAGCGCCCCCAAGCGGCGCCTCGAGCCTAAGTCACCCAGAGGCATTGTCGGCTGCAGGCCACCACCTCCTGGCAGAAGCGGGTGTTGCTTCCTCCTCGGGTCTAAAGCTTTTGCATATTGGAAAGGAAAAAAGGCTTGCAGCCCAGGGGCTTCAGCCTGCAGACAGTTTCTGCGGCACCCTGGGTGAAACTGATGGTGGCTGCTGACTTTGTCCTGCAGCTCCGTCAGCAGCTTTGAGCCAGGAGTTGAAACAATACTCATCTTGACCACAGAGGCCATATCTTCTCAACTGTGGTAGCATCAGTGCCGGACACATAGTAGGTTTTCAATGAATGTTTAAAAAGAATGCATCATTGTGGCTCAGTTGGTTAAGAGCTTGCTCAAGAGTTAGAGCTCTGAGCAACAGCGGTTTGATTCCTGGCCCAAAAAAAAAAAAAAAAAATAAATCATTATTATTGATTTTTAATTGGAATAATATTTACCATTTCTTCTAATTATAATCTAAAAATAATATTTATCAGTTACTGAACACCTATAGCCTATTTGGTGGGAATGGGGGTGGAGGAGGGTGGCAAAGAGGAAGGCTGACCCNAAAAAGAATGCATCATTGTGGCTCAGTTGGTTAAGAGCTTGCTCAAGAGTTAGAGCTCTGAGCAACAGCGGTTTGATTCCTGGCAAAAAAAAAAAAAAAAAGAATGCATCATTATTGATTTTTAATTGGAATAATAATATTTACCATTTCTAATTATAATAATCTAAAAATAATATTTATCAGTTACTGAACACCTATAGCCTATTTGGTGGGAATGGGGGTGGAGGAGGGTGGCAAAGAGGAAGGCTGACCCAGTGGCGTGGTCAGAGCAGATGAAACGGGAAAACGTGTCCTTCCTCAACCCGATTTAAGGGTCTCTTCTTTATCCTCATAAAACACCTTTGTGCATAACTAGTAGAGTAGTTCATGTCTGGAATATTTATCCACCGTTCGCTCAGTGCTAGAAACAGTGTTAGGTGTTTAATGAACTATTGCAGTAATCAGTTCTGCAGAATGTCCAAGCTAGGATGACAGAGCTAGAATTATTAAAACCCAACTTCCCTAACAATCTATTGTTCTTTTTTTGTAGACTAACCAAATTATTATATAGTGGATTATCTTTAATCAGATAATCTTCTAAAATGGTTTTCACCTACTCTCAGGCTTCCACTGATTCCACATTAGCTGCAAATGCCAGTTAATCTTAATATGGGCCAGTTTATATAGCTAAAAAGGTAAAATAGCCAGGAAAGAATTATATTTTGGCTATAACTAAATATAAATTAATTTTTATATCATGCTTGTTAATGTTCCATTCATTGAATACAAATTGACCATCAATTCCTAGACCTTCTTCATGTTTTCCCCAATATTCATTTTTTAAATTGATGTATAATTTACATACAATGAAATGCATAAATTTTAAATGTACAGATGCATGAATTTGGACAAATGTTCATAGTTGTTTAACTACCACCTCCATCAAGACATGGAATACTTTTATCACCCCCAGAAATTTCTGTTGTCTCTTTGCCATCAGCCCCACTCCTAGCAGCAAACACTGTTTTAATTTATGTAACCATTAATTAGTTTGCATGTTCTTAAAGTTTATGTAATTGGAATCACCCATTATGTACTCTTGTTTCTAGCTTCTTCCACAAATTATATTTTGAGATCCCTCCACATGTATCATTTTGTAGTATGACTATACTACAGATTATTTATTGATCCGCCAGTTGGTGGTGAGGACTTATGAAAACTTTAGTTTCATAACTTGTGGGCCAATATTTAGATATTTTACTTACTGTGGGTGAAAAAATAAAAAAAGGAGTTCTATGGGATGTAACCTCACTGGGTGATCTGATCTGAATTCCTAACTGGGCAGGTCGTGTGGATAGTCATTAACCCAGGCCTATAACTTGCTTATTGACAGGTTTTAAGCCAGCCCTGTCCATTGTTCTTGTGCATCTAGGTTGTCACACCTTTGAGATGCCAGAAGTAATGCCCCTGGAAGAGGATATTAACCCTCAAGAAACAACATAATCTTGTTAAGGATCCTGTAATTCGATCCCCATCTTGCTTTTTCCCAGCTGCATGTGATCTTCCTAATGTTCCCTCCTTAATTACCAATGCATAAAAGAAGCTGCAAAAACTGAGCATTTGAGATCTTGCTCCCCGGCATATGTCGTCAGTTTGGCTCAAATAACCTCATAAAGACCCTATACAGGTTTGGACATTCCTTATGGACATCTAGGTGGTGTAGTTGGCAGGATTCTGAAGCAGCCCACCCAGGACCACCCTACGAACTTGGACCTGGTGCTAGGTACAAGCAAGGGCCCCACCAGCTCCTTGCCTCGCATCAGCTAAACTGGGGTGAGTTTCTTTTGGAATTTTGGGCCTCCTGGCTTTGAGTGGCAAGTTGTGACTTTATTTGAGCTGTTCTTAGAAAATCCTCAAGATGGATAAGGGTTGAGATAACCCACGGAAAGGAAAAAAAAAAGGGGGGGGGCGATTGCTGCTGCTTTAAATTTTGGCTTTTTAATTGGATTGCTTACTGAGAGTCTGAACAAAATCTTTGCTGGTCCAATGAGAGACTGAATAATCTTTAGCTCTGAAAGAGAAAGGCCATTTGCTTCCCCAACCCAAATAACCAATGGGGTGATGTCAGTTGTTCAGATCCCTGAATTCGGTGCAGCGGAGATGGGTGCGGGAGTTGTCCTGTTCAGCAGAGCAGCAAGTCCCAAAGAAGCTGGCAGGAGTCCCAGACAGAAGGGCCACACACCCTGGTATGGGGTGTGCCCTCAGAGAGGGGCCTGAGAGAGGAAACTGTGCCTTGGAAAGTGTCTCAGTTCCAGCGGTGTTTAGTATGCTCTTGCTGGCCCTTGCTTGGGTATTCTTAGGTGACTAAGAATCTTTGTGGGGTTGCTTGAGGAAAATTTTCCCCTAGGGCATAAAGAAGTCTTATAGGTATATCCACTGCATTTGGCTCATCTGGAGATGTGCATGCAAAGGCTGGTTTTCCCTAGAAGTAACATGGGAAATTTTGCCTCTGAAGCCACCCAGGCCCATGACAGCGAGTCTCCCATTTGTAATTTAAGATGGCTGAGATGAAGAGTCTTTGTGGCTGAGATGAAGAGTCTTTGTTACTTCTAAATTAATTTTCGTGCACACAGTTAGAAAAAGCTAGCTACAAAATTAGGCAGACTGAATGGAAAAAAACAAAACAAAACTATTAAAGACTGTCTCACAACTTAAAAAGGCCTTCTCCCCTAAGTTAAAAATGGAACTATGTAAAAGGATATAGATAAATGGATCAATCTATAATGTCTTTTAGGTGTCAATACAATTCTCTGAGGAATTAAAAATGGCTGTCCTTATTTTAAAAGGGGGAATTCATTTGGAATTTGACTTGTCAAGGAGAGATATAAATTATAAATGCCTCCAAAACAAAATTTGGATCCAACTGTTCTGTTTGTGTCTGTCTATGCATGTCTATATATATGTTGTAAATGTGAGATAATTTTCTGTCCCCAAATGGTATTGTTAAAATTAATTTAAAGGCAAGTGCTTGTAAAAATTGGATATTCTAAAATTCTCAAATCTAGAAACTGACTCAAATGCTTCTCAAGTTCACATGAGCTAAGAGTCCTTAGTAAAGAAAAGCTAGCTTAAGTTGATTGGTTTAAGTAAAACAGACATGTCTTTATTTTGCCTGGGTTTTACAAAAATGAGTCCATGTTAATAACTGAATTTCATGTCTATGAAAATGTTTTTAGAGGTTATAAAATGTCCACGCTAAAGAATGCCAATTGATTACTTCTTAGTTTTCATTAGACATTGAGGTTTTAAGGGTTAAGATTTCAATGTCATAGGAAAACTTCTAGGATATAGTGTATGGGTAAACAGTGGTTGTAAATTAAATGCATAGTTCTTGGTTCTTCCCTGTCGCCTGACTCCCCATTTTTCAATTTTTGCATTCCTTTATGTGTCACAGTGCATTTGAGCTAGACTTAGATAAAGGAACTTATGAGCTGACATTATTGAAAGGAGACATCTTACAATATTACCAAGGTTTGACAGATTCACTTCTAGGAAATGCCAACTTGATAACTGCTTCCTTTCCCAAACAGCTCCCAGGAGATGAAGACTTTGGATATTATATTTTGGAAAGAACATCAAATAAAAGACACTCTCCAACCTCATAGGAAGGGACCTTATCAGCTTCCTAACCATGAATGGACAGCTACCCCGTCTACGCACATCAAAGTCTCCTTGAGGATGAGAAGCTACTGACAACAGGAGGAGACAGCTATTTCAAGACACTGACGAAGCATGTATATCTATGGGTTGATATTGAGCTCAGAATCCATTTTGTTTGATTTGTTTTTACCTATTTGCTAATGATATTAGTCATAATAATAGCTGTACTTGTTCTTTGTTTTTTTCTATATAGTCAAACTGTTTATGATTGCTGAACATGTATAACATAACTGTTAGTGTTTGTTTCATGACTTATGTAAATGTTATACTAGGTGCCACATACAGAAAAATGAGACAGAAGGCAAAAGTTGTATTATGATAGTTCATAGAATAGAAATGATCTAGTGTTTCTTGCCATGAAGGCTATAATAACTGACTGCCTTCCATTTACCTGGCCTTCCTTTTTTGAGGAAAATTGGTCCTCAGCTCAAATCCATGGTTATGGTGTTGCCCCATCCCCAATGGTGAGCAAGGTAACGTCACTGACACTTCCTAGGAATGAGCCTTCCTAGAATTGTGAGACCATATGATCTGAACAAATGTTGGCCATCAATGAATTCTTCAGATTAATTTATGACCAAAAGGGAGAACTGAGAATGAAAAAACAGGGTTCTATGGGAAGTAACCTCACTGGGTGATCTGATCATA